AATGTTTTTTATTTCTTATTAACCCCTCCAATAAAGTTCCCATACTTATGAACAGGGGAATTCTGTCAGCGCCTCCTCTGCGCTCTGATACTGTGGTTGTGGGAGCGTAAAGTGAAGTGCGCACACATGTACCACCATGTGTGGTTTGTTTTGGTTCTTCGGTGATGCCTTATGTGCACGTGTACTTGTATTAACAGATCCACTTAGACTCGTTGCTTCACAACTGCTGTAAGTTGAGTTTTGGGATGTAAACTGCGTTAATAATCTGTTGTGAATCTGCATGGGCACCGATTGCAGCTTCATCTGTCAGTGCGGCCCGCGGTAGGGGGGTGGGATTGTGCGTACATCTACCGCGGGCCGCACTGATATTATTCTTTGGAATTAAGTGGCGGGCCGCAAAAAATCCTTCCGAGGGCCGCAGTTGGCCCCCGGGCCGCGAGTCTGAGACCCCTGGTGTAGGAGCTATTTGCTTATTTTGTTGATTCTAAAACTAGTTTATTATTTTTTGTTTGTTAATTAGTTTACTATTTTAGTTTTGTTAATTTGCATAATATATATTTTAATATTATTCTTGCTAATTTCTTAGTCTAAGTTTGTATTATTTACATTAGCACCTTTTTGTTTTTGGTTTAATTTGGGTCACCTAGGGGATAAAGGAGGGTGGTACACGTAGACCAGAGTGCACCTGGGTGGGCCTATGGTTTTTTTTACCAGTCAAGAGGAGAGGCAGCAGGAGTAGGCCTTCAACATGTATTCCTTGTTGCTTGCCAAAAAACTGGAAAATAAATCTTGGAAATTCAGCTCTGGTCATGGACATTGATTTGTACTGCGTAAACCACATATCCATGGGGCCCAAAAGTGATTATTTGAGTTATGTTTAGTTCTGAGTTTGCTCACCACTTTTGTTTGTTACTTTTATTTGACAAATAGTCCCTACAAAGGGAGTGTGGGGGGTAAATTGGAGCCGAGTTACATATTAAGAATAGGAATTGATTTATAGACAAAATAGCTAAATAAAAATTAGATGACATTATTTCAATAAAAAGTCAATTGAAGCCAGGGTCGATGGAGCTGGAGGGGCGCCTATTCTCACTTCCTATTTGAAACGGGGTGAACGCTGGGGGTTAGTCATGTCCTTTTATATAAAGTCTAGACCTAAAGTCTACTCCTGTTGTAGACTTGGTTTAGATCTGATGGTACTCAGAAAACCAAATCCTTTCTTTGGTGGGACTACTTTGTGTGAAAAGCTTGAACCAGCACTTACTGAAAACATTGCCTTCTGTTGTTCAGTGAAGGCAATTTGAATAATATGTATCACAGTCCAACCAAGGTCAAATGCCTTTAAAGCAGAAAAACAGGCACTACCTCATGGCACCAATGACAAAGATCTTGGTCAGAAGATTGGTAAGTAAATTGGAATATTTTGGGAGAACCTGCAAACTCTATTAAGAAAGGTCCAAATCCAAAAATCAAACCAGAGATGTTCACATTAAGAGACAACAATTCTAAGCACTCCAACTCCAAAATATGTTGATTCACACAATATAATCTTCTTTTTTTTAGCCCTACAATGGAGTTACAGACCATAATTGCTACAAAACAAAAGCAATATAAAAAATACCTTACAGGCTCTGTGCTGGCTTTCATTTTTCTAACTGAATGTCTCTCCCCACTCTTCGCCCCCATTTGTCTTGTCAAGTAAAGTCTACGGATATAAATCCTTAAAACCCTCCTGTGCTTTGACACATGGTGCAGATATGAAAGGTATTTAAAGACACTGATACTACTGCTCTGAGACACTGACACCAGCCCAGGGCCTGTCTGCACTCGCCCACACACACACACACACAACACACGCACACACACTTGCCCCTCACACACATGCACATACACACATACACAAACACAGATGTCTGGTTTCAATACTACTTTGGGACATTACACTGACTTGCATTCATTTGTTGTGAGACTGAGCCAAACTTTAACTATAGTCACTACTTGCCTAACCTAAACCTAAACCCTAACCTTAAAGCCGCTGTACTTGATTTTTATTGTCTTAAAAAACATGAAAAACAAATCAATTTTAAACGTTTAGAATGGTCCAAAGTTCTTCATCACTCACTTTACACATTTTGAAGATTCCTAAATATTAATCATGATGAGTTTATGAGCACCTTTCAAAACAACACATCCCTATTAACCGATGAACACAACTTTTTATTTCTTTTCTACTAGTATGTTGCCATGTTTGTTTCTATTGCTGCTGCAGATCTTAGAATTTCCCTCAAAAAAGCCTGTCCAAGTCCAAATCTATCTATCAAAACTTCCAAAGACCAGAGCGGAGTTTTGCAGTCACAGTAATGCTAACAACAACTAGCATGCTAACACGCACTTACTGATTATCGAACATTAAAATGCTTTATAATTAACTGCATCCAAACCAGACCTTTAATCATAGTAACTAGTTTAACGGATAATTTATTTTAATCTGAAATCTGAACATTAAAAGGTGCACTATGTAACTTTTTCTGGTAGATGGTCTGTCTATAGTTTTGTCTCCATGACGATGTAATTTCTTTGATTGGAATGTTTCACAGTATGGTATTAAACTTCACTTTCTCCATGGAACAAGCAGGAGACGCCGCCAGACCAAGGTACCGGTCAGATCTTGTAGAGGACGGCCCGTTGATTGTGGGTGTGCACGTTCTTTAAGCAATAAAAACACCCATAATTGAATGAATTGTAGATGGATAAGTTTAATGCCACACTGTGAAACATTTCAGACAAAGTAATACCATCTCCATGGAGCAGGTGGTGGACCCTCTATCTGAAAGGTTACAGAATGCAGTAAAGCAGTATAATTAAGGTGCATTGTGTAACTTCTGGTGGATCGTCCATCACATGCTTGTTTCCATGGATATGTTCATTGCTCTGCCTGGAATGTTCCACAGTATGACATTAAAACAGGTCTACTTTACATTTATTTAATTACAAAAGTGAAAAACGCATTCTGACTGTGAGCGGGGTCGCCTCTCCACAGATCTGACTTATAACTCGGTCTGGTTTGGTCTTCATGAAGATAGAAAGGTTTAATGCAACACTGTGAAACATTCCAGACAAAACAATAACATCTCCATGGAGAAAAATATATATCGGACCGGAAGTTACACAATGTTGGCGTAATATAATAAAAAGGATTTACGTCATAGGGACCTGGTGTGTGTATTTTTGTAATCCTCACATTGTAATAAATACTTGCCCACACACATTTATGAGGCATGTTCTGTCAGACAGCTCCTCCCACATTCGAACTCTCAAACACATGTGAAATATCATGCACAAGTGTGGACTCATCATAGATACAATAAAACGGTTATGTGAAGAAGAAATGCATCCAAATGCATGCAGATGAGAGAATGCATAAACATAAGAGATGGGAAATCAGGTTAGGCTAGTTTTCATCAGGGTTTAGTCCCAGCAAATTCTAACTCAATTTAAAGATCCTATACTACACAAAACTGACTCTTGTGAGATTTAAGCCATGTTATAAAGTTGTAACCTCCTCAGAAACATATCCAGAGTTGTGTTTTTTTTTTTCATTCACATGACTAATCCTGATTTATTAGTCTGTCTACATCTCCAAAGCTCAAAGTACTTCGTTCCACCTTGTGATGTCATGTAGTGGTAGTTTTCAAGTTATCAGCTACCTTTTACCTTTAGTTCAGTAGCGATTAGCAATTCCAGGTCTGAGGTCATCCAAATGATTCTAGAGACGGTGTATGGAGTTTAAAAACACAGTGGACTAAGTGTGTTAAACATGTGTGAATGAAATAAAACACAAATCCAGGTATGATTTTGATGAGGGAACAACATTATAACATAGATCAGAAAATAGCCTAATATACGACCTTAAACTACATTTAAAAATCATTTAATAATAAACCTTGTCTAAATGTAAGCAATACTAAAAACTTGTCAAATTTAAAGAAATGTCACTAAAAGTTCTATCCAGTTTCTAATTCTGCTTTTTATTATTGGTGGGGGATACTGACCAAAAATCTCATTAACAATATTTTTAAGAATTAAAAATGGTATTAAATTAAGGTTTAAGTATCAAATGTGAAATCACTAAATTACCAAATACTGGAGAAATATGACTATGGAAGTTTATAACATATGTTTTTCTTGTTTGTTTCATTTTCATTTTCTGACCAGCTCTTTTTGCAGCATTTTGTAATGATAAACTACTGATATTTGCATTTTTTCAAGACATTTAAAAAAAATATATATAATATTAGCAATGTTGTGATAATCTCCTACTTCCCCAAATTTTGAAGGTAAATGCTGGTAAATTCTATGCAAAAACATATTTTTTTACTATATATATATACTTATTATAGACTAAATGTAGTTACTACTACTACTACTACTACTACTACTACTACTACTACTACTACTACTACTACTACTACTACTCACTTTAAACTTGATCAAAACTAAATCAAAGTGAGGCCCACCTAAACAAATACAGGCATACTAATAATTTATAAAAAATGAATACAGCATTTATAAGCCTAAGACAGAAAATTAAACAATGACTTAACTTTATACCAATCCGTAATTAATACACAAGGTTAAACTATGAGTAAAATAAGATTATACTGAATTTAAAGCCAAAGAAGTTAGTTACCAAACATTTTGACGCTACTTTGCACTGTTATCTGTAAACAAAACGGAAGTGCTGCTACAACAGGGAAAAATGTCACGCCTTTTAAATATAATCAGTGAAATTAAACTTTAACAATGTCATAATAATGTAGGAATAACGAGAATGGTTGGTTGATCGTCTATGGTGGGGTAGTGGCAGAAAACTATGCAAGTAGCTACTCAAAAACAATGGAAAAAGTCGTTCACAACTTTAGCTACAGATCGCAAAACGTGACTCGAAAAAGCGTGTTTAATGTATCAAATGTACGTGGTGAATGGTCCTGATTAATTACCTGTTTTAGTGGTTTCTGATGGTCATTCCGTTTCGATTCTTCCCTGGGAAAAACAGTCCTCGCTCAACCTCTTCTCAACTTTCTGCTCAAGTCCAAAAATGCAGCAAAAAAATGACATTTCCGAGTTTTGCGGACGGCAGCCAATCAGAGACGAGAACGATTTGATTGACACAAAGATTAGCCAATGAAAGCAGTGAATTTTCTTAGTTAGGAGCGCTCTATGATTATGAGAGAATGCAAATGAATAAAAGATATACATAAGTAATAGTGGCAAATTAACTTGTTTATAATCAGAAAAATATACATATATATATATATATATATATATATATGTATATATATGTATGTGTGTGTGTGTGTGTGTGTATGTGTATGTATATATATATATATATATATATATATATATATATATATATATATATATATATATATATATATATATATATATATATATATATATATATATATATATATATATATATATACCACACCCAGATCTACCACACCAGACAAGACCCACGGTGGAGACTGTGCAAAGAGGCTCCTGAGACAGTCCAGCACATAACTGCAGGGTGTAAGATGCTGGCAGGGAAAGCATCAGTGTTGTGCAAGTTCACACTTTTCATGAACTAGTTCAAAGTTCAGTTCACACTTGTTCAAAGTGAATAGTTCACGTTCATAGTTCACAATTTTAATTTTGAACTAGTTCAAAGTTCAGTTCATTTTATATTTAGATGAGATCTGTAAATGAAAGGCTGCATTTATTTTTCAAACTGACTTCTAGTTTACAACAACTTTACAAGATACACTGTTGGACAAGTGACTTTAAAACTGTAATGTGTTATTTATGACTTGTTACTGTCATTTCAAAGTCATTTGTTACATTACAGTATTACTGTATTAAAAATGTAAAACATTACACGACTATTGCAGCACTTTTAATTTACTCTCACCAAAAGAACTGTTAAGATGCTGAACTTTTGCGCCGTATATGGACTGAACCAGGACTAAACCAGGTCTAAACCAGGTCTAAACCAGGACTAAAACCAGAACTGAACCAGGTCCAAACCAGGACTAAACCAGGTTTAAACCAGGACTAAACCAGAACTGAACCAGGTCTAAACCAGGACTGAACCAGGTCTAAACCAGGTCTAAACCAGGACTAAACCAGGACTAAACCAGAACTGAACCAGGACTGAACCAGGTCTAAACCAGGAATAAACCAAGGCTAAACCAGGACTGAACCAGAATGAACCAGGTCTAAACCAGGACTGAACCAGGACTGAAACCAGGTCTAAACCAGGAATAAACCAAGACTAAACCAGGACTGAACCAGAATTGAACCAGGTCTAAACCAGGATTGAACCAGGACTGAACCAGGTCTAAACCAGAACTGAACCAGGACTAAACCAGGACTAAACCAAGACTAAACCAGGACCAAACCAGGACTAATCCTAATCCTGGACTAGAACTTGGAATCTAGGACCGCCCCTGAGAGAACCCCGAGTGCGATCGGGCATCAGCTGCGTTCAGCTCTGTGGAGCGCGGACTTCTGCGGTCATTTCGCTCAGGATCACGGTCTACGCGGGCGCACCTCCGGCGTTTCACCGCTGCTGATATCGCGGTGATTTTAGCAAATTTGTATGAAGAAAAACGAAAAACCCACTGACATATGTACCAAGTAAAATAATACGCGCGCGGAGCAGCACGTCCTGTGCGTGTATTTTTCAGAAAATAGGATCCATTCTGTTTTTTGACGCTCTACACGAGCGTAGGTGCGTATCCCCGTCAAAATCCACAGAGAGCATGTATCTATTGTTGTATTTGCGCATTTACCATCAGCACATTGTGCTCCCTGGGCAGTTGTGTATCATGTGAAAGAGCCCAGATCCACATAGACTGTTAATTAGTGCTTTGAAATTTACTTTTGAAATCCTTGCGTTTGCCGTGGTCAGCCTGTACAGAAGGTAATACAAGCAGCTAAACGCGCCCAGTCAAGTTTGATTGACTTCCCATTGAGAGACACAAGAGCCCGTACGTTCCGCTAAAGCTGCCGGTGGAGTTGCCTTCGCGTTGACACGCGGCTGTGGTTTCGCGAGGTGAAGTGCGAGCAGATCGTCACTCGTCAGGTGAAAACAAATTCCGACGTTTAACTGAACCCCAACAGTGACGTACGTCGTTCATCATACATAATTTGAACAAATTCACGTTCAAGTTCTTGATTTACAAAAGTGTTGCGTTCAGTTCAAAGTTCACTGAAAAATGAACGTGTTCAATGAACGCGTTCTTTTGAACTCGTTCATGCACAACACTGGAAAGCATACATGGAGCGACATAACCAAGTGGCGGGCATAGTGTACAGAAACATCTGTGCAGAGTACGGGCTGGAAACCCCAGGATCAAGGTGGGAAACACCTCCAAAGGTTGTGGAGAATGACCGAGCCAAGATCCTGTGGGACTTCCAGATACAGACTGACAGAATGGTGATGGCGAACCAACCAGACATAGTGGTGGTGGATAAGAAACAGAGCAGAGCCGTGGTGGTGGACATCGCAATACCAAGAGATGGTAATATCAGGAAAAAGGAACACGAGAAGCTAGAGAAATACCAGGGGCTCAAGGAAGAGCTGGAGAGAGCCTGGAAAGTAAAGGCATCAGTGGTGCCTGTGGTGATCGGAGCACTCGGGGCTGTAACCCCCAAACTGGAAGAGTGGCTACAACAGATACCGGGAAAAACAATGGACATCTCAGTCCAGAAAAGTGCAGTACTGGGAACAGCAAAGATACTGCGCAGAACTCTCAAGCTCCCAGGCCTCTGGTAGAGAGAGAGACCTACCACCGTGGAAGGTGAGAAACACATTTTTATATATATATATATATATATATATATATATATATATATATATATATATATATATATATATATATATATATATATATATATATATATATATATATATATATATATATATATATATATCTGCACCAGAAAAGTTACAGAGTACACCTTTAAGAATGATGCTTTTTGTTGAGTCCTTGTTTGACTAGTAGAACCAATAATAAGTGACATATTTACTGAAAATAAATGGTAATTCAAACTAGGATTGCCTGGGCCCAATGAATGGTGAAGTCAGCGTCTCTAAATAAACCTAAACTTGTGGGAAAAACTGAGTCAAGAGTTATAAATGATTTGCCAGATCACTTTTGGAGAATTTAAAACCACAGAACTGGCGCCGTCTAGTGGAAAATACACTCTCTTTAAATACACTATAATTCGGAAAGTAAAATTCGTACAAAAAGATGTTAAAATAATTATATGAAATAACCCGTGAACTTAAAAAAAATAAATATATATACTAAATTATAAAGTTAATTAAATCTTTTATGTTTCTGATTGGATATTAACCTAAGCCCCGCCCTAACATTTTGATTGATTGTATCTCGTCCAATAGAAATAGAGAACGAGTTGCATGCTCTCTTTCGATTGGCTGGACAGTCTTCACAATACGCACGCCTGCTCGTATTGTCCCTGTCGGAGGAACTAGCTACTTTTGCGTTATTACCAACTTTTCTAAGACATTTCTAAGACTTTTCTGACTTCTTTGGGATTACATCTTTCCCTGACGTTTTGTTGGATGTTTTAACTTTCTTCAGAGAGGTGTTTCAGATCGTAAAACCTTAAAAAGCGTGATAAAATAAGGTCGAGGTGAGTCCTTTGCTTTGACTCTTGTTCAGCTGGGATTTAAACGCTAGCCCTTTCAATTAGCTCACATATTTGGACTAAGACTTGTTTCAGAACTTTTACAAGTCTTATTCATAACTCTGTCTTACATTGAAAGTGGATTATCTTGTTATAAAGTTGTGAAAATCCGCGAAGTACCATAGATCTTGTAATATTAATAAATCAATTCTAAGTTCCGTTAGCTTTCTAGGAACTGAAGTTTTGGCCAAATCCCATTTTCCCCACAATAATTAAACTTATTTATATTGTAGTTTAATGCAGATTGGGCGGGGGAGAGCACTAATTACACAATTCAAATTATTTGCAATGAGATAAGATAAACGTGATAATAATAACATTGTATGATGACAGTACATTGATAAAAAAAAAAAAAAAGCTATTTGTTCATCATTGTAAGACCACTAATTGAATAATGTAATATTTATTTATTTATGTATTTATTTATTTATTTAACTAATGCATGTCAAATTAAATAGTGAACTGTAAAGAAATTTATATTGTAGTTTAATGCAGATTGTATGTTGGTTATTTTAGCTGTAATTGCTTACTATAAGATAAGATAAACCTTTATTTGTCCCACATTGAGAAATTAGAGTGTTATACGCAAAGTTCAAGAACAGTCGGAGAATAAAAACATGCAATTTGTTATAAGTCCACTAATTCAATAATGTAACACTGACATAATGGATTCTAAATACATAATATAATTCACATTGGATAGGCTAAAGTGTATTTTTAAAAAAAATCTTTTTTATTTAAATTTTTTACTAAACCATGCCAAATTTAACCATAATGCAGGTTAAATAGTAAATTGTATTGAAATAGTAAAATATCTCTTCAGTTTTTTTTTTTTGCTAGATTTTTGTTTTCAATCTCTAAATAAGAATATTGAAAAAGGGAGATAAGGATAAATAAACTATAAACAAAACTAAAAAGTTAGGCCACAGTTGTAAAGTGCATTATACCTGAAGGGTGTAGAGTCCGCCACCTGCTACTCTACATGAAGATGCTATAGTATGGCATTACACTTCATTGTTGTAATTCTTCTTAAAGAGCCGTGGAATTTCATGTATGTGTTTTTAAATGACATTTTTTTAAGGGTGCACTGTGTAAATTTCTGGCTGAGGTTCCGCCACATGCTTATCTTTATGGAAATGTTATTGTTGTAGTATTGAAGAATGTCTCACAGTATGGCATCACACTCTCCACCAAAAAAGTTACATAGTGCACCTTTAAATTGTGAATAACATTGCTAAGAAAATGCTGCTTTTTGAGTCTTTACAGTGCATGATCTCTCCTTGTATTTCACACAGATGGAGGACCAGGAGACTCCGGAGTTCGAGTCTCTTCAGGATGAGCTGGAATACTGGAAAGAACAAGCTGCAAAACACCAACAAATGTATGTTTATAATATCTTTATGGTTTATGTCTTTCTTTTAGTTGTTACCAATTCCAGTACTGTAGCCATCTGTATAGTTATCAGCAGTGGTAGTTGCGTTGTATACAACTGTAAAGGGACCAGATCATGGGTTTTCATGTTTGTTATTTGTTATACATATAGTTCCTTTTTACCTTTCTTGTTTTTGCTCAGAGCGGAGGAGGCTCAGTTGGAGTTATCGGAGTTTCAGCAGATGAGTCGAGATTACGAGTCGGAGTTGGAGACTGAGCTCAAACAGTGTGAGACCCGCAACAAAGAACTGCTGTCCCTAAACCAGCGCCTCAGAATGGAACTGGACAACTACAAGGTACACATGGGCGCTATGGTGTAACAGCTAATACTTCGTTTTACTAATGCAAACTTATCTACAAAGTGATTAAGCTGTGATGGAACTTTTGGCTCTTTCATAGGATCCAAGTATGTTTTTTGTGTTGGTTAAATCAGTGTAAAAAGGAATAAAATTATGTTAAATATGGTTTTAATTGTGTTAAAGGTCTTATATTGCACAAATTGACTCTTGTGAGACTTTTGAGCTCAAAAACATTCCTGGAGTTGTGTTTTGTTTCATTCCTGGTTTATTAGTGGTAGTGGTGATGGTAGTTTTCAAGTTAACATCTACCTTCTACCTTTAGTTAAGTAGAGATCCTCCAAATGATTCTAATGAAGGTGTATGAAGTTTAAAAACACAGTGTTACTGCAGGACATTACAAATTGGTACAGAGTGTACTCAGCCTAAATATGCAGGGTTTGTGTGTTAAACATGTGTGAATGAAACAAAACACAACTCGTATGCAAATACATTGGGACCTTTAAGGAACATTTTACTACAAAAAATGAAACAAATAAGCAAGAGCTGGACGATATGGTAAAAAAAAAGAATGCTTTTTTTTCTCTCATATCTCTTGATCTCGATTTTCATCTGTTTTATTTATTCAGGTGCGTTTACAGCTTTAGAACAGCTTTTGAGTGAAGTGAAACTGAGACAGACAAAGCACAGTTAATTCTAGAGCTTACAGAGCTTATTTCATATTTACAGAAGAAAAAATACTTTATTATTAGATGCAGACAGAGCACAGACATCTGTTTTGTTAGGTTCTGCTTTTACTATATACTCTATAGGGGAAAAACAACATTTACTAGAATAAAGTTGGGTACCTCAGCTTTAAACATAACCTTAAAGATGCATTAGGGTCCGTTAAATGCTCTTTTTCATGGACATGTTGGTGATTTGTCTGGAATGTTTCACAGTTATGGTATTAAACATGTCTGTCTTCATGGAGGCCAAACCAGATCAAGTTACAGGGCAGATCTGTGGAGAGGCGATGCTTCTCACAGTCAGAATTCCATTTTTCTAGGTATTTCTAAGCTATAAAACCACCTGGAATGGAATAAATGTAAGGTAGAGCTGTTTAATGTCATACTGTGGAACATTCCAGGCAGAACAATAACATCCATAGAACCAAGCAGGCGAGGCAACCCCAACCAATAAATTGCACAGTGCACCTTTAATTCTTAACCTTATTGTAATTTCCAGCAGAGCCTGTCCTCAAATACCCATATGTCTACTTCATGACTGAGTAAATTCTTGAGTGTTCCAGTTAAAACTATGTAAAAGATTATCAGATAAGCCGTCGTAGTGCAGGTATAAGCAGGTCTGTACGAGTGAAAAACACAGTGAAATGTCTCTCAAAGCAGAAAATGTCCAAGCTCTGTTTTCTGGGTGTCTTTTAGAATTTGGGTTGTGAGAGTATGTTATCATTTCCTCATCACAAGCATACTTGGAGTTGTGTTTTGTTTCCATTCACACGTTTAACACACAAACCCTGCATATTTAGGCTGAGTTCTTCTCTTCAAACTGAAAACACTTTGTTCCAACTTGTGATGGCATAGCAATACAGCAAGTGCTCCCTCGAATTGACCATCTCTATTGAACTAAAGGTAAAAGTTAATAGCTAACTTGAACTACTACTTCATGACATCACAAGATGGAACAGAGCGTTTTGAGCTTTGGAGATGTAGACAGACTAATAATAAAGGATTACTCATGAAACAAAACACAACTCCAGGTATGTTTTTGAGGAGGTAACATCATGGCTTAAAGCTCACAAAAGTCAAAATAGTGTGATACTGGACCTGAAAATTAAATTCAGTGATAGCGGAAGCAACTTTTCATCACTATCTTTCCAATTTACAAGACAGACATTTGCTTTTTTGAAAACTTCATAATGAACTCGTGTTTTTACATTTTACTCCTCATACATGCAAAACTGGTCTAAAATGGCTTGATGATAAAACTGAGACCACAGACTTTTAGCTAAAAAAATGCAGTCTTCATTGTTGTAATTCTTCCTAAAGAGTAGTGGAATTTCATGTATGTGTTTTTAAATGACGTTTTTTAAGGGTGCACTGTGTAACTTTCTGGCTGAGGTTCCGCCACATGCTTGTCTTCATGGAAATGTTATTGTTTAGTGACGAATGTCTCACAGTATGGCATTAAACTTCTCTATTTGCATGGAGACAAGCCCACAATTGCTCCAGACCAAGTTACAGATCTGTGGAAAGGTGAGCTCATTTAAAGTAGGAAAACACCAGTAAAACACCTGTAATTGCATAAATGCAACATGGATGAATGCTATACTGTGAGAAACGTTTCAGCAATACTATCTCCATGGAAACAACTTTGTGGCAGACACTCTACCAGAAATGTTGTACGGTGCACCTTTAAGCTTACATGTCACCTGAAGTTGTAGCTGAAGTACAGAGCAGTGGGTGGGGATAGGGGGTAGATGAAAACAAACAATTTTACTGCCAATACAGCATTACTCAAACAGGCTTCAGTCAATCTAAATACAACAATGACGGCACACTGTTATAACACAACTAAAAGCTCATTAAAGATTTTCCAGAGTATGTCCCCTTTAATTCTTATTCCATCACTGATCCAGGCTTAGACAGAGGGTTCATTTAGAGGCAGCTGACCATGGTGTCTTTGCCAATGGGCTCCTAACAAAACAAAACACAAAGAGCTGATGCTGTAGCTCTCACCACTATTTTACATAATGTAATAAGCTCTCTTTAGGGCTTTTTTATTGAAATAGTTGTTAAACCATGCGCTACATATGCTAAGATAAGTTCCATTATATTTTTTTCCCCGACACTTATCAAGAGCATCTCAAATTCTACTTTTAGTTACAGACAATAATTTATAATATTATGAAAAACTATTGAAGGCACCAACAAGTCACTCTGTACTAATTCTCTGGGAGGTTTTAAAGAGATCAGTAGCCCCGTGCAAAATAATACAAACTGAATCATGATGGTGGTTTTTACTTGTACTGTCTTTCCAAAGATCTGACCTGTAATTTGGTCTGGGTTGGTCTCCATGATGATAGAAAGGGTTAATACCATACTGTGAAACATTCCAGACAAAGCAGTAACATCTTAGTGGAGAAAAACATTTGATGGACCCTCTGCCAGAAAAGTTCCACAATATAGCTGTAAAGATAGTGTTTTAAAATTATCTATACAATAAAAAAATGAAAGTAATTCGTTTTTGACAAGTATATTGTGCACTTTTTATTAAAAAGTTTTTAAATAAACTACCTTGACATAGATCTGCGGACCCTACTTGACCAGTCCTCCTGTTAAACCACTGAACTGAACCCTTCTCTCCTTAATTAACATGTTTCTGGTTTTTGAATCCTTGTGTTGAAGAAAGTATTATTGTGGATGAAAACAGTAGTTCTATGTACAAAAATTAGCCCACCATTTTTGACAGTTAAGCACAAAGTCAGTCCACAACCTCTATAGAATGCACCTTTAAGTTATCCAGTAGTCTTCATTCTCTCCTCTATGTATGTTTCAGGAGAAGTACGAGGTGCAGCACTCGGAGGCCTTCAGGCAGATCTCGGAGCTGGAGTCGGAGCTGTCTCAGACCTCAGCTGTGAAGGACCAGCTCCAGAGATACATCAGAGAACTGGAGCAGGCCAACGATGATCTGGAGAGAGCCAAGAGGTACAGCATGTGAAATTGAATTATCAAGGAACTAATGCTGGTGTGCTGTTAGCATTGTAGTTGTAGCAAAACTCTGCTCTGACCTCTTAAAGTTGTAAAAAGCACAAAAAAATTAATGAGGGCAATAATGTGGCTACTAGGAATTCGTTAGGTTAGGTACAACATAACAATTTAGCAGAAGATAGGCCCATTAAACTACAAATCACCCAGTGCATTTAAGAGCTCTCCCATATAATTTTTGGTGGTTTTGTCCTTTCAGAGCCACCATCATGTCTCTGGAGGATTTCGAGCAGCGGATGAACCACGTCATCGAGAGGAACGCATTTTTGGAGAGTGAACTGGACGAGAAGGAAAACCTGCTGGAGTCTGTGCAGAGGCTCAAAGACGAAGCCAGAGGTATGTACAGATTATAAAGGATTCGAAATACTGTACTTAGATAAACAGTTTGATAGCACTTTGACCTTAAAGCAAGAAGGTTCTCCCAGTGCAGAGTTTGAATGTTCTCTTTGTGTCTGGGTGAGTTTCTTCTGGGCTCTCTGGTTTCCCTATCAGGCTAAAACATGCACCACAGGTCAAATCCTCCAACTAAGGTCCTGATCAAGACTAACTCAAGATCTGGAGATGGGTTCCACTGCTCCTGACTGTTTGCCCCCCAGCTGTACTGAAGGATAGGTCAAATGCAGAGGACAAATTTCAGCAACTGAACAACACGCGAATCCTCTCACACCAACTAACTCCATGTCTTCTTTGGTTTCCCATATATTCACTATTCCTACAGTGAGGTGTAGCACATTTACTTTCATAAGAAACAAATTAAAACATCTTTTGTTATATAAATTATACAAATTTAACTACGGTTCTATGAATCCCAGACATCTCATCACTGCCCTTGGGCGGCCAGGAGGGATGAAATAGAACTTTACTTGATAAATAGAACTTTCTCTTCTTTCAGACCTGAGACAGGAACTGGCAGTTCAACAGAAACAAGACCGGAAACCATCTTTGAGCGCTGTGGCCACTCCCCCCCTCACCCCCCCTCACCGAAGGACAGAGGAGACGAGGAGGGAGGAGACGAGGGAAGAGACAAGAACAGAGGAGACGACACAACTTCTACCTACAGAGACGACACCAACCAAAGCTAAAGCTGCTGATGCTTCTGCAACAACACCTGCCACCAGTAGGGATCAGTATTCTGAGGACACCAACCTGTTACACAGCTGAAAAATTTAATTAAACATATTTTACCATATTTCCTACAGCAGAGGCGGTGGGTGGGAGCGGGACTCCGTTCACGACGTCAGCGAGAATCTCTGCTCTCAACATTGTGGGAGAACTGCTCAGGAAAGTCGGGGTGAGTCTGATCTCCTTATGGCTCTGGCTATTGGCTTTGTTTACATGCACCTGAACCTTTAAAGGTGCATTGTGTAACTTTCCTGGTGGAGGGTCCGTCCGTTTTTTTTCTAGTGAGATGTTATTGCTTTGTCCTTTCAATCTTCATGGAGACCAAACCATATCAAGTTACAGGTCAGATCTGTAGAGAGGCAACCCCGCTCACTGTTAGAATATTTTTCTAAGTATTTTTGAGCTATAAAACCACCTGTAATTGAATATACATAAGGTAGAGCTGTTTAATGTCATACTGTAGAACAGGGGTGCTCACACTTTTTCAGCATGCGAGCTACTTAAAAAATGACCTAGTCATAAAGATCTACCTAATACAAAGCCAAGCAAACTACACTGAAACACACTGTGCCCCTTTTTTGGTCCCTCACCCACAGTTTGAGAACCCCTTCTTTAAGAGAACTTCCTCTGGCACTTTACACAAAACTGTGAAAAAAGTGAAGGAAGTAGGTAAGATTTTTAAACCTGTTTTTTAAAGTTCCAAACTGGAGTTGCATTCTTTTCTGGTTTTGCAGTGATATTTACCAGCCTCTGCACATTTACTAAACCAAACACACACCGTGACAAACACAGATGCATTTGTGCACTTTTGTTAGACAAACTTCAGCCAAATGTGGCAGTAGGTCTGTTCTGTAGATCTGCTCTATGCTGTAGACCTGCTTTGTGCCAACACTGGAACACAAATTTAGACTCGTTTTTGCTTCACGTTTGGTCTTGCTCTTCTAATCAGCGCGCACTGTGGGAGGGGCTTGTGTTCGCTGTACGCAGGAAGGAGCGAGAGCGTGAAAAGGCGAGGGGCGGCGTGCTGACGTGAGGCAGATGGACAGGTAGGATGTTTAGGAAGTTGAACCTGCCCTGTGATGCACGCTGGTACACGAGGGCACACGCTGTTGCAGAGGAGCCGTGCATAGGGAGCGTGTGTGTTTGTGATGTGCCGTAGAGTCTCCGCGGGTTTCAAATGAGCGCACAGGCTGCACTGAGACGCCCCACACACTCCTGCACCCCGCTACAAGTTTATTGCCAACAGCAGCGGCTGTAATGAAATATGATCGCACTTGTTGAGTGTCAGACCTTGAGTGAGAGACAAGACCGAGTCCAAACGCGAGTCCGAGATGAGACACGGCGATCTACCCACACAACCTTGGCGATCGACTGGTAGATAGTGATCGACGTATTGAGCACCCCTGCTGTTCAACATTCCAAGCAGAGCAATGACACATCCACAGAAACAAGCAGATGATGGACCCCCCAAGGAAAAAGTTAGACAATGCTCCTTATATTAAGATTATTTAAATGACATGTAAACCACAAAATCAGGATGTGAGCAACATGAGAGACCAGAAAGATGAGAACAGAAAGAAAGCAGATTATTTAGCTGCCATTTTAATTATCTTATGTTGTTTTTCCCTTGTGTTCTGTATAGAACCTGGAGTCCCGTCTGGCCTCCTGCCGAGAGTATGTGCATGAGCAGAGCCACAGGGGTGCGCACGTGACTTCACCCAGAGACAGACAGAATTCAGAGACGCCTAACAGCGGCCATTACAACAAGAGGTGAGTTTGAAATGTAAAAGTATCAGTATTCAGACATTACTTGATACTAAAACTACTCAGGAAAGGTCTAATTTGTCATGTAGTTTCAATAGTTTTAGAATCATCTTGACGTTTATCAGAACTAATAAAAGATGATAATATTATTGCTACATTATTAAAGATGCACTGTGTAACTTTTTGGTTGTGGGTCCATCACTGTTTTGTTTCTATTGATATTTCAATGCTCTGCCTGGAATGTTCCACAGTGTGACATTAAACAGCTCAGCCTTAAATTTATTCAATTACAGGTGGTTTAGAGCTCATAAATACCACAGATCTGACCTGTAAATTGGTCTGGTTTGGTCTCCATGAAGATAGAAAGGTTTAATGTCATACTGTGGAACATTCAAGACAAAGCAATAAGATCTCCATGGAGACAAGCATTTGATGAACCCTCCACCAGAAAACTTACACAATCCACCTTTAAAAGTTGCTATAAAATCTATTGTAAAACTTTTTTTTTTAAAATTATCATTACTGTAGTATTAAAAATGGAGTATGAAGCATATTCCTTATCTTTCTCTTTTATGATTTTATTTTATTGTTAATTGCTATGACAGTTTTAATATTTAATTGATCTAAAACCCATGGAGAGGTACTGTGAGTATTTTGTGCAAACTGGTAAATGATGACAATTTTTTTTTTTTATTAATAATAATTATTTATAAAAAAAAAAGAAGTAAAAATCCACACTATTGAAAGGGCTCATGTTGCTCTATTTTCAGATCTGTTTTATAATGTTGTTTTCCTAACACAAACAGACCTGGAGTTGTTTTGTTTCATTCACACGTGGCCTGAATAAACCAGGGTTACTCATGTATGAATGAAACAAAACACAACTCCAGGTCTGTTTGTGATAGGAAAACAACATTATAACATGGCTTAATGCTCACAAGGGTCAATGTGTAATAACAGGACCTTTAAATTTGAATCATATTTTAATCATCCCAAATTTTCTCTATCTTTTTTCCAGTTTGGTGAAGAGGCTGGACTTTGGCCCTGGTTCGAAGGTTTTGCTCTGAAAACTGTCCCTTTAAACAGAATGGTACTTTTGCTGCTTCTGGACGCTGCCAATGGACTGTGTTAAATAACTGGACTCGCACTTGCACTTAGCTTCACCAACACCGCAAAGAAGGAATTTGTCAAAACGTCTTGAAATCAGAATATTTTTATTTGAATAGTGTTGACTAGTTTACATGTATCTTTTTGATGGACTGAGGTTATTGGATTTAATAAAGGTGCACTATGTAACTTTTCTGTTATAACAGATCCACCTTCTGCTTGTCTCCATGAAGATACTATTGCCTAGCTTTGAATGTTCCCCAGTATGGCATTAAACTCATCTATCGTGCATTTATTCAGTTATAGGTGCTTTAATACAAAGAAAACACTTAATGAGTGAGTGGACTCGACTCTCCATGGATCTGACCTGTAGTTTGGCCATGTGGTGCCACCTGCTTGTTTTCAAGGAGTTCAGCAAGTTTAATGCCATACTATGGAACGTTCCAGGCAATGCAATAACATCTCCATGGAGAAAACCAGATGACTGACCCTACAAGGGATGTAACAATAACCGAAATATTGTGATATCATTTTGTCAAAAGTCTCAATAATATCATGGACCATCACAAGATATCGAATTGCAAGTCTCTTTGCTTAAATTAATTACTTTGGTGCAGCAGTAGCTAAAAAAACTGCATAAACCATGATCCTTTGCTCCGTTTCAGAGCAGATGACATGAAAAGTAGTAGTTATTAGGCATGTTTAAATCTTAATTCTTTGGTTTATAACAGAACAAAAGGCTTATCAAGGCATTTTAAAAGGAAAGTGGCATATTCACAATTCTGGTAGCTTCCACAAAATATCACAATAAATATCGCACCATGAGATGTATACAGTAAAAATGTTGTATCGAGAAATTTGAACATTGTTACATCTCTACACCCTACACTAGAAAAGTTACAGTGCACCTTTTATGGTTTTTACTTCAAATAAAATCATCTGCCAGTGGAGTTGGAAAATTGGTCTTAAAATGACATACACACACTTTCCCCATTGGCTGATTTTGTTCATGAGTTACCCTGTAACCAGTTAGAAATGATAAAGGTGCAATGGGTGGAGAGTCCGTCACTTATTTGTATTATGAAGATGTTATAGCTTTGCACAGAATGTTCCACAGTATGGCATTAAAGTCATCTATCGCTACATTGATTCAATTATATGTGTTTTATCGCTCAAAAATACTTTGAAAAACATGCTTTTGTACTATGAGTCGGCTCCCTCTCCACAGATCTGACCTGTAACTTGGTCTGGTGGTGTTACCTGTTTGTTTTTATGGAGATGCCATACTGTGGAATATTTTGATGAAGACAAGCGGATGGCAGTAAATACATCAAATACACTTAAACTGGTCAAAACTATACGCAAAATATTCAGATTCATATAATTTGAACTCTTATATCGTTTTTGCAGTCTAACCGTCCTGATTATGGTTTTAATTTAAACCAAAATGCCTTATCCTCAGTGACACTGGAAATGAATTGACTTGTTCTGCATTGTTAACAATGCAAAATGAAGGGATTTTAGAATTACTAGAATTTTTTAGTTTGTTTGTTTTTGTTTTTTTATGAATGAATGTTACCAAAACGAGACTCAATTTTGGACATGATGCACATTTATTTTATTGTATTTGGGTGTTTAAAATGTATTTAGGAGCTTTTTGTCAATTGATACTTTGCAGTGACATCACACTGGGGGTGTTCTACATGTATCTCTGTGGGGGAATTTTCATCAGTTACCATGGTGACACATAGACAGGCTGGTGCCACCTAGTGCCTCCGCTCAATTTCGTTTCTCTCCAGCGACTAGGTCAGGAATCAAAATACTATAGACGGTTCGCAAAAACCCCAGAATTGCAAGTTCGAGTACCACCCAATCATGGAAGAGCCATATATTCAGTGTTAGGAATGATTCCCGAGATGGAGCATTTGAAGCCGAAATAAAGAGAATGTTTGGTGAATTTCATCAAAGGGAAAGACGTTATTGTCCTTCTTCCTACGGGATTTGGGAAAAGCTTAACATACCAGTTAGCTCCGTTAGCGGTGCATTACATACGTGACTACCAAATAGCAGCGAATGGTTAAATGATAGAAACGAATTCTAACACTGTGAGGTCAGACGGTTTCTACAAAGTGAAACCGGCTGGTGAATCAGGCTAGGCCAGTGCTTCTCAATTATTTTCTGTCATGCCCCCCCTAGGACGAATAAAACATCTCGCGCCCCCCCGCGTGACTATAGATAGTATCATTTGTCTATAAAATTGTTATAAGTACACCTGTGCGTAACACTGCCACCTTATATGACGCCAACAACGCTCGCTGGTTTACTGAAGTAGCAGTCACAAAGCGGGATGATTGTCGGCAATATTCGGCACGTTTTCGCTGAAAAAACTCAAGCGGCTTAGACGCAGTAAGCACACCGGTCTTTCCTCGTCTCCCACCGTAGTCACAGTGAAGCCAAGCGCTACATACGCTTCGTCATATTTCCTCGTCTTAGCTTTCGGGAGATTTTCGTTTGTCTCTTTATCTCCGTCTCTCTCCACCTGTCTTCTCATCCCTGTTAAATATTTTTTCATGGTGTCACTTGAGGGTCTGCTACACTTCGTGTCTACACTTCATACTCAAACTCTGTGCTGTGTGCAAAGCGCGCATGCTCAGTGCAAACAAAACTCCTACACCACCTAGCGAATGCTCCCTGTGCACACTCTGCCAATGAGAGCGCCACTGCCCCCTAATGTAGTGGAAGTGCAATTGCACTTTATTCTAAAGGCCCGTTCAGACCAAAGCGTCAAAGCGTCCACTTTCTATGTAAAGTCTATGTGGATGCGCGACTAGAGCGTCCTCCTGCGTTTTTGCGGCGCGTTTTCGGCGTCAGCGCGCGCGCGCGCTCTTCAGCGTTTTGGCGTCAGCGGCCAAGACGCGCGTCCAAGGCGTCAGCGTCAAGAAGTTGAAAATGCTGAACTTTTCGCGTCAGACGCGCCGCGTCAATCAATCAGGGACGAGTATCCAGAGACGCAGCGACGTTATTATCAGGAAGAAAGACCCGAGAACCAGAACGAGAACCACAAACATGAACGGAGAATAAATATATACGCCACAATCACCGAGCCGATCGCGAGGACTACACCAGGACCGGACCAGGACCAAACCAGGACTAGACCGAGACTAAACAAGGACTAGACCGAGACTAAACAAGGACTAGACCGGGACTAGACCGTGATTAGACCAGGACTAGACCGTGATTAGACCAGGACCAGACCGGTATTAGACCAGGACTAGACCGGGACTGATCCAGTGTCATTAGCGGAGTAGACATATATAAACGCAGATTAATTCAAGTAACAGAGCTTGAGACAGAGCAGTGCCTACAGTTAGTCACACCCCCAGTGAACATTGATGACATCAGCTGCAAAGTAGCAACACAAGTGAGAAACATGGTTTGTTTTGGGGCTGAAGAAGTTGCTGTTTTCTGACCAGTATTGTGATGTGTTTGGATTTGTGATTTGTTTTAAAGGTGCACTATGTAACTTTTCTACAGTGGAGGATCTGATTGTCTCCATGGAGATATTATTACTTTGACAGGAATGGTCCACAGTATAGCATTAAACACATTTTTCTCCATGGAGACCAGCAGATAACACTAAAAAAAGCATGTAACTTCAACAATAACGTGCAAGATGGAGAAGTTAATCATTTAATGCCACACTGTGGGACATTCATGGAAATGCAAAATGATCTCCATGAACACACTCTGTAGAAATGTTAGTTCATCATTAAAATAAAAAAAATCTGTTAACAGTAAGAACTTACATTGTGTTTTTCAGAACATGTTTACTACAGGGTTTGCAGGTTTTACACAGAATTTCCGCGGATATTTTCTTATGTGGATATGACATTTAGAATTGTTTTGCTAACTGAATGAGGCCTTTCAAATTACCAAATGTGCCATAATTAATTTTTAAATAAAGTAAGTGGCTGAAAATCATGTGTTTGCATTTCTTCAATAAAACCAAAAAAGATTGAGATTTCCATTTTATTTCCACAACAAGCAAAGTTTTAAAACCCAAATAAAATAAAAAATAAAATACATTTGACAACACAAGAATAATTTATGTGAAATACAAATATTTTAAGTGCTTTCTGTTCAAATAAATTATAATTTCACTTAAAAAAGCCCGTTTGAAAGTTTAAAGTTATATAATTTATGTTTTATTATAAAATGCACGTTGGGCCTGTCTATTGGAAATAAAACCTGTGACTTAAAGGCGCACTGTGTAATTTTTCTGGTGGGGGGTCCACTTCCTGTTTCTTTCCATGGAGATGTTATTGCTTTGCCTGAAATTTTCCATAGTATGACTTTAAACTTATCCATTTTGTATTTATTCATGACTGGTGTTTATTGCTCAAAAATACAGTAATCCCTTCTGTGAACTAAGAGCGACTCTCCACAGATCTGAACTGTAATGTAGCATAGTGTTGTAACCTGCTTGTCTCCCTTGCGATAGATAGGTTTAATCTGTGGAACATTCTAGACAAAGCAATAACATTTCCATGGAGGCAAGCGGGTGGTGGACCCTCCAAGTTGTGCAATGCACCTTTAAAGGAGACATATTCTGCTATATTTGTTATATTCTGCATATTTTAATTATAAATACCTGAAATTTCATGTTTTCTAAATGATACGGATTGTAAAGGAGAAGTCAAGAGTTGTGATTACTGCTTGATAAGTCCTTGCGCCCTCTGCTGGTAAAACATTAGAATTACATAGCGCAGTCACTTTTTGATGATAAAACATTGCCACATGGTAAAAAAAACACAAAGAAAACCCCACCCACAATTGATACTTCGCAGTGACATCATGCTGGGGGATGTGTGTCTATGGTGGAATGTTGAAGAGTTAAATGAAACAAAACCGCACACCAAAGTTCTTGAAGAGGTGCAAATGCAAGGAGCAGCAAGTTAAAAGCGAAAAAATGCATAGCTCACTCAGATGGCCGATGTCCAAGGTCGGACTGGCAATCTGTGCGTTTTGGAAAAGTCTAGAACGGCCATCTGGTCAAATGGCTGTCGACCGAACTAACAGCAGAGAGCTAATACAAATCCCAAAAGTCCACAGCTGTTTTTTGGTCCCAGTCTGTCCCTGCCGATGTCCAGAAGCTTTTTTTAATTTGTAAGTAACCTTTCGACAAAAAGCCTTCAGCAATTTTTTATCATTTTTCTTGCTTCGGACCACAGTATACGAGGGTTGAGGAATGTTGAGGAGTTACCACGGTGACACAATGCACGCAGCAAACCCAGCATAAAAAAGTGTCAAGATTGTCTGCAAATCAGCACAAATCAGATTACCTGTTATAGTTCAGATTGTATTAAAATTAAAATCAGACTGAAGTGAAAAAGATTCAGACAGAGCAGTGCCTACAGTTATAATCACGCCCCCAAGTAATTTTAATGATCAGATGCAAAGTATCAGTCAATTTAGCTTAGTATGCCTGTCTCCTTTAGGTGCACTATGTAACTTTTCGGTAGGGAGTCGGTCACCTTTTTATTTTTATGGCTCTGCTTAAAATGTTCCACAATATGACATTAAACAGCTCTACCTTACATTTACTCAGTTACAGGTGCTCAAAAATACCTAGAAAAGCTGGTATTCTGACTGTGAGCGGGATTGCCTCTCCACAGATCAGTAACTTGGTCTGGTTTGGTTTACATGAAGATAGAAAGGTTTAATATCATACTGTGAAACATTCCAGACAAAGCAAAAACAGTGCACATTTAAGAAAATATGTGTGTTTTTTTCTTGGGAATAAAATACAAGTACAACATAAAGGACATTCAAAAGTGTAAATAAACAGCGGCCATCTTGAATCCCACGCTCACTGCTCCATCTCGTCTTCATCGTAGTAGTCTTCTTCTTCTTCGTGTCGGTGTCTTGGAGCCATGTCTCGCACCTCTTCCTCTGAATCCACTGAGTTCTGCTTTGGGCGGGGCCTGAAGCTGACCCCACCCATCGGTCTGTAGCCTCCGCTCACACCTGCCGTCACCATGGAAACGCGAGGGGAGGGTGCGGGCACGAAGCCGGAGTCGGTGCCGCCGCCGCCTCGCCTACGAAGGTTTACAGGAAGGAGAGAGAAGAGGAAAGATAGTGTCGCAAAAATGTAAATCAAAATTGTTTTAAAATGACTTAAATTCAGAATGGATTTTAGCAGTTTGGATGATTGACTAAGAAAATTATTTAAAGGCGCACTGTGTAACATTTCTGGTAAGGAGTCTGCCACAAACTTCCATGGAGATATTACTGCTTTGCCTGAAAGGTTTCACAGTATGGCATTAAACTCATCTATGTTACAAGTGTTTTACTGCTCAAAAATAGCAGGAGCTCGCCTCTCCACAGACCTGACCTGTAACTTGGCATAGAGGCATTTTGAGTTTGACTCCTTGGAAAAAGATGAGTCTAATGCCATACTGTGGGACATTCTAGTCAAAGGAGATGACATGATGAAATGATATACCTGATAGTTACACAGTGCACCTTTTTTGACTGGACTTTTTTTTTTTTTTGACTATTTCGACATATTTCCTATTGGTTTATACCTTTCACTAGCCTGATTCATCAGCCAGTTTCATTTCGTAAAAACCGTCTGACTTCACAGCATTAGAATTCGTTCACTTGATGGTAGACGGGTACTTTTTTATTTAATCAATCGTTGTAATGCGCCGCTAATGGGGCTAACTGGTATATTAAGCTTTTCCCAAATCCCATAGGAAGAAGGGCAATAACGTCTTTCCCCTTGATGAAATTCACCAAACATTCTCTTTGTTCTGGCTTTAAATCCTCGATCTCAGGAATCATTGCCAACACAGAAGGTGTGGCTCTTCACTGATTGGCTAGTGCCCAAACTTGCACTTCCCAGTGTATTCCGATTCCTGACTTAGTTGCTGGAGAGAAATTAAATTGGGCAGAGGCACTAGGTGGCCCCAGCCTGGCTAACCTTCCGCTGGTTTCAAAACAAAATGACTTGCCAAAGGAGCGAGATTTTAAATTTACTATTGTTAACCTGACCAGCCAGCTGAGTTCAAAATTGTGGCGGCATTTGATTTTTTTCTTTCAATACTTTTATTTTTTATTGTTATGGTAGGTACAGACAAAATATTTATAATGCCATTCTGACAAAGTGGATCCAGGCTTGAATGGCTGGCAAGAATATTGTTACTACTGTTATTCTAGCAGATAAAACAAATGTTTATATTTATGTAAGAAAATGTGTGGACATCAAGATTGTTAAGTCATTTTACTAATTTCTGTTTCATTTTTGCGGTGAGGGAGGAGGGAGAAGGAGAATGGGATTAAGGTTAAAGCCCTGAAACCTGCAGAAATCAGAAATGCCTGAAGAAGTGAAAGCACAAAACAGGAAGTGACATTTACAGTTAAAATGAACCTTCCCATGCTAAATTTTAGTTAATACATCAAACGTTTTAATGTTTGGAGTGTGTTATTTCAAAGTATTGACTGATTTTTACCATTCACTTCAGAAGTGAATGGTAAAAAGTCTACAAATGCAGCAAATTGCATAGGAAGAATGAATACATGACAGGTTTTTCTAATTATTACTTGGCTTGGTGGGATAATTCTGCAGCTTTACATGAGTCAGGTGGTACTGTGTGGACAAATGTTGGAAAGAAAAGCAAAAAGATAAAAAAAAAAAAAAAAAAAAAAAAAAGAATACATCTGCCTATATGTCATCAACGCAGAAACTTTTCTCAAATGCAGTGACAATTTAACTACTGTGTACAACAATAACTAGTACGGAATTTAGTTTTGACCCATGTAAACATCATGGACACATCTGCTGCCCGTGTCAAACTGGGAAGTGAAATAGGTAGAAATCTAAAATATAATAATGTTAATTTTGTTTTACGGAAATGAGTAGTCTAACCTGCAGTACCAACTCAATTTTGTCTTTATCTTGCAGCTTTAATAAGTAATTTCTATAGGTTTAATTAAGTCGATCCTTACCAAATTCCTCCTTGTTTATAATTACAATCTGGTCATTAGTTTTGCACTCAAGATGCTACTGACTTTTGCGATTTGAACGTGTGAATTGTGATGTTGTTACAGATAAATCTTGCAGCCATGACCCTCACCTGAGTTTTCCCCTGAGAGAAGACACTTCTTCGTTCAGAGCCTCTTTAGCTTCGTTAGCTTCCTCAAGCTCCCTCTGTAGTTTCCTCCGAGCGGCGGCTGCACGCTGAGCCTCCTCCTCCGCCTCCTCCAACTGCAGCTTCAGCTGCTTCAGACGCACTGCTCCCTTCTCCGCCTGGACATACGGTGGTGCATTTGGGACACTTTTACACCTCTCTCAAACTCAAGATTTGCCATAACTTTTTAAAGGTCCTATATTACGCAAAACTGACTCTTGTGAGCTTTAAGCCACGTTAGAATGCTCAAAAACATAACTGGAGTTGTGTTTTGTTTAATTAACACGTTTCAGTAATTCTTTATTATTAGTCTGCCTACATCCCCAAAGCTCAAAATGCTCTATTCCACTTTATGATGTCATGATGCGGTAGTTTTTGGGACAACATCTACCTTTGAAATTGGCATTTCCAGGGCTGAATTCATCTAAATGATTCTAGTGAAGGTGTATGGAGTTTAAAAAAACATGGAGTACTTCCTTTATTATCACATGACATGACAAGGTTTTCTCTTTGAGAGAAGAACTCCTAAATGCCTAAATATGCAGGATTTGCGTGTTAAACATGTGAAACAAGACAAAAGTGGGCTCATATACCCCTTGTTGGAGCAAGAAAAATTCTGATTAAGTATTTTTTTGCCGAAATGTTATTTTGAAAATAAAAAAGCTTTTGAACATCGGCCATTTGAGTGTGCTATGCATTTTTTCACTTTTGACTTGCTGCTCCTTGCATTTGCACCTCTACAAGAATTTTGGTGTTCGTTTTCTGTTTCTTTTGAACATGTGAAACAAAACACAACTCCAGGTCTGTTTGTGATGAAAAAACAACAGTCTAACATAGATCAGAAACAGCATAATATGGGCCCTTCAAAGAACATATAGATTAACATGAGGTGGAGTAGAGTAATTACCCTAGTCCCTAGTACAGGGGGTCTCCAACCTGTAGCTCCCCCTTCCAAGTAGCTCGCCAAGGGATTTCTGAATTAACTAATTAAACTAACTAATTACTACCTAACCAGGACTAAACTAAGACTAAACCAGGATTACATCAGATCTAAACTAGGACTAAAACAGGACTATCACAATTTTTTGACTAATCAGATTCTAACCAACAGTAAAGAGGAGCATAAATTATAATTTTTTAGCCAAATGACAGAAAATGACTATAAAGTGAAAAATGCAGTGTCAGAAGTCCCTCAGATGATGTTGCATGCTCTTTTCACAATTTTATTTAGACCAACCATCCCAACCCATTTTCTTTTTAGCTCACTGGAGGAAAAAGGTTGGAGACCCCAGCCCTAGTACATTATAAGTAATCCAGCACAAAGTATATTTAGTCATGTTAAAGAGGATTAAAAGCTTAACTGAACCATCTCACAAGAATCACTGGCGCTCGCTATGTAAATATTTTGTAACAAGTGACCCAATTAACTTGTCTACTGCTGATGCATCACTGAAAAAAAATGCAAAAACCAAAAAGCATCATGGTGCCCAGTTGTGTACCTGGTCCTTGTACTGCTGCGCCTGCTTCCTCTCGTCCTCCATTTGAACACTGAGGTCTTTGAGCTTCTTCTCTTTCTGGCGGAGGCTCTTGGCGTTGTTCTGACGCTCCCTGAAATGGACAAAACAGAAGAAAATAGTCCTTATTCTACTGCTGGAACACCTGACGAAAACACAGTTCACACAGAAAAGCTCCAAATCAAGAAAGACTAAATTTTTTGCCTTGATGGGCCAAAATGAAATGGTGTTTTCCTACTCAAAGCGCTTTACATTAAGGAACCAGTCACCTATTCACACACAGATTTATACACCAGTGTACACAGACACTGGGGGCAAAGTGGGTTAAGTGCTTTGCTCAAGTACACAATGACTGCATTAATCTGTGGGAGCTGAAATCACACCGCCAACCTGTGGGTCAGTGGACAAACATCCTACCAAATAATCTACTGTCGCCCCAAATTATGTTTTTTATACAAGTTTGTCTGAAAACTGCAAAAACATTTCTGAGTAAATTAGGGTTAGGGTGTGTTTTAGGGCAATACACTTGGTTGGTTTTGCTTGCAACTACAGCAAAATTTGGAATAAAAGAATAAAACAAATCTGTCTCAGCTTGCCTTTGTGGACCAATCTAGACTCCCTAGAGCTCCAAGTTTTGCCTGTGGACCTCACATTGGGAAACCCTGACCCAAATCATTTTAAAAGATCAAACCCAGGCCACTTCTGCCAGTGTTTCACCTGCTCTCTGCCTCCAGCTGCTCTTGTGCGTCTCTCAGTTTGGCCTCCAGGGCGGCGACAGAGGCCTTGAGTTTGGAGCGGCCCTGTCCCTCCAGCTCCTGCAGCCGTGCTTTCAGCTCCCTGTTCTGTTTGTCCAGCTGTTGCCGTGACGACTCTCTGCCCTGAGACGAGAGACGCTCTGAGGCCAGGTCTGCCCCGAGCTGCTCCACCTGAGACAACACAGGTCGAAGGTCAGAGAGGAGAGAACACTAGAGTGGATCAACAGCTTATTTGTAAAGTCACATAAAAGAGGGATTTATAATATACGGATCTGCCCATTAAGGTTCCAGAATGTAAATTTCCTCTTGATTTTTCTCATAGACTTAATTGTAATATTAAGTGACTAATGTAATTTTCTATTCAAGAGACACATTTAGACACAGATAAATCATGTTTAAGTTATATTCTAGACATAGTCTTTATGTATTTTTGTACCATTTGTTGTGACTTGCGCAGTCTTTCGTTCAGACTCTCCACGTTGTTCTGCTCCTCCTCCAGTTCCTCCTCGAGCTGAGAGATCCGACTCTCAAAACGCCGCCTCTCTTCACCAAATACAGACCTGACAAAAATCCAATAATCCAGGACCAGGTTTAATAAATCTGTCTAACCCAATTCAACTTAAAGGGACACCAGGTAATGTTTTCTGGTGGAGTGTCTGCTATCTTAGCCAGGCTGGCGTCCCTAGTGCCTCCGCTCAATTTCATTTCTCGCCACCGACTAGGTCAGGAATCAGAATATACTAGACGGTTCGCAAAAACCCTGGTAGTAAGAGTTCAGGCACCAGCCAATCAGCGAAGACCCATACATTCTGTGTTGGCAACGATTCCCAAGATCGAGGATTTAAAGTTAAGTTAAGAACGTTATTGTCCTTCTTCCTACGGGATTTGGGAAAAGCTTAAAATACTAGTTATCCCCGTTAGCGGCGCATTACATATGTCACAACCAAATACCAGCAATTGGTTAAATGAAAAAAAGTATCCGCCTACCATCGAGCGAATGAATCCTAATGCTGCAAGACGATCAGACAATTTCTACAAAGTGAAACCAGCTGATGAATCAGGCTACTGTTATCTGTCCATCCTGACCAGTGTGGCATTTAACTTGTTTATCTCCATGGAGACAGGGGAAATCTGTGGCTAAACTACAGGTCAAATCTGTGGAAAGGTAAGCCTGTTGACGGTAACACTGCATAAGTTTCAAGGTATGTTTGAGATATTAAAAACTGTTATTAAATAAATGTCATTCTGTATTGCTTTGCTTGGAAAGTTCCAGTCTCCATGGTGGCTGAACCTCCATCAGAAAAGTTACATACTGACCAAGCGAATATTAAATTTAGTATTAGCTTTTAGTCCAGGATTAGTTGTATTTTCTGGATTTAGTCCCTTGTTAGACCCTTTAAATAACGTAAATAATCCAGTTTCCTACTTTCCAGAGGAGTTGGAGGTCAGCTCTTCTTGCAGCTCATCTCTCTCTCCCTCCGCCTGTTTCCGAGCTCGTTCAGCCACAGACAGCATCTGAAAAGTGTGAACAAAAGAGAAAAGCAAAAGGCTTATTTAGATCTTTACATCAGACTCTGTTAGGCTTACATTTAGTCCCAGTTTGAAGGGCCAGTTACTCTTAATTAGGTCATTAAGTCAATTCCTTAGGTCCAATGTATCCTTGGTCTAGTGCTGGTTTAGCTCCAGTTTAAATTTTTATTTACTGCTGTCCTGATTTAGGGTTTATTTAGTCCTGGTCCCTCGTCTTGCCCCTAATCTTGTCTCTGGTCTTGTCCCTGGTTTAGTCCTTGTTTAGTTGCTGGTCTAGTCCTGGTCCAGACCTCGTGCAGTTGTGTGAGCTCGGCCTCCGCAGCCTTCAGTCTTCTCTCTGTTTCTCGAGCCGAAGACGACACTTCTCTGTGGGCCACAACCGACTCGTCCAGCTCCCTCTGCAGGTCCTTCAACTGGCCCTGGAACAATGCATTTATAAAGTCCCAGCATGTGACTTTTTAACCAATAAAAATACAAGCATCAATACTGTGAGCTTGCATCTCCACAAACCTGACTCTTATTTGGCCTTTGTTCCTTTGGTTTTAATATTCTACAGTATGACATAAAAAATATCTATCTACATGGAGAATATTCCAAAGTATGGTTTTAGCTTTCTATTTCTACTTCTTGAAAATGACATATTGTTGATTTTTGGATGTTCATTATGTTTTTAAATATTTCATGTATTTTTTTTTTCTCATTTCTGATATAACAGTTTGTTAGTAGAGTAGAAAAACTACACTTGATACAACTACTTAACTATAGAAAAAAATGTAGACTTAGAGCAATTAAAATGGAAATTTGTACACGTCTAAAGCAAAAATAATTAAAACATATCAAAACAAGTATTAGAAATGTATATATATTTTTAACTCTTGTAGATGTTACTTTAAGCAGCCTTACACTTGCTAAACTGTGAATTTGCTGATGTGTGATCATGATTGACTTTTACCTGCATCTTTCTGAACTGTTTGGCAGCCTCCTCACGCCCCCTGGTGGCCACCTCCAGTTGCTCCTCGGTGCTCCTCAGCTCTGACTCCAGCTTCTTCTTCGCTGCAGAAGCCTGATTTCTCTGTTTCTTCTCATCCTCCAGCTCCTCCTCCAGCTCTCGAACCTTAGATACAAAAACATAATTAATCATACACATTGAGACTTGCAACTCTGAGGAGATGTACTAAGTATTAAGCACATTTATGAGCTTTAAACCCCGTTACAGTGTTTTCAACACATCATTAGCATAAGAGTTGTTTTTGAGTAGTCCTGTTTTTATCCACTACAGCACTGCGTTTGCCCTGTTACTGTTTATAAGTTTCTATCTCATATCACTGGCACTTTCACAAAGCCATATTAATGGTAGATGGTTTTGCTTTAACAAAGCCAAATTAAGTTGAAGCAAACTCATTTTAAAAACAATGCAACAGAATAAAAAAACTCACAACTACTGTATATATCTACATATACTATACTATATCACTAAAATCCTTATCCTTATACTCAGACACTCAAATCCTATGAATAGTCTGCACTATAGATGATTTAAGTACTAATAATGTATGACTTAGTATAATAGTATATGCATATTTTCTAATTGATTAGTGCACACAGTTTATTTTCTGGTGTTCACCTTAATGTAATTTAATCAATTTCATGATTTATGGGTGACTATCTGAAATATTTGGTACTTTATTTTACGTTTTGCCTGGTCAAATTCTATGACACTCTATGAGTTAAATACATAAAATATTTTAAATTATGAAAAGTATAAAAAATAATAAAGCTATAAAAAATTTATAGCTCCGCCCACGTCTCTACGTAACCCGGTGTCCTGTCAAAACAGCCTACCCGTCATTTTGAGCTACCTAGCGCTGCTGCGCATGCGCACACATGCGCACGACCCCTAAGCGCTGTCCGAGTTGGAATCATAAAACTAGATCCATGGTTTAAATGCCGTCGATTTGAGCTCCCGAGACAGAAGTAGAGTTGGGTTCAACACTGACGACGCAAGTGAGTAACATTTTAAAACTGTATTGGTTTTATTGTATATTTTGACCAATGAAGCACGTAAGCAACGACATGTGAGGGTTAGATTTGCGGCAGAATACTGTGAACACTGATCTTATTTTACTCATTTTGCTACAACTAAATTCCAAAATGTTATGTTCAGAAACCCTGAATGAAGCTTGCTACTCTGCTTTATGATACAAATTGCAGAAACTCCGGAAACTCCCGAGGTAAAACTATGAGCTAAAGACAACATTTATAAATGAACAATACAAAGGCTTTGGTTTGACTCTTAGACGCTCAGACTCAGAAACTCTCTGATAGACGCTACTTACGCTAGTAAGATGTTTTTTGCCTGTATGTCACTTGTGCTGAGAATCCATACTGTAACATCATTAAAGGAGCTGTAGAACGAGCTCTGTGCCTCTGTTGTGCCTGTTTTTCCTTTTTGCAAGATATAACAGAAATCAAAAATGCCCACGTTAAATGACTGAATAGTTTGGATTGAATATTTAATTTTATCGTTATCATTTTGATTACATCGTATTTTATTGTGTTTCCATGTGTAGAAAATGCTGTAACTTTGTTTAGAAAGGCACTGTATAAATAAAATATCACTATATTATATTAGGAAACTCATACAGCAGCCTATGATGTTATCGTTAAATACCTGGGTCACTTTACTGTTAGTGGTGTGTAGTTTATTGTTCAATTTAATTCAACGGACGTTAAAATTAGCCTACACCTACGCCTACACTTGTATGAAATAAATTATGCTTCTATAAATGAGTAGGATAGGTTTGGAAAACTAAAGAACTACCCTCCTGTAAAAAATACTTACATAGTCTTATTTTTACTGTCTGAATGTGGGTTTTACAAAAATGTGTTTTATTTTCAGTTTCACAGTGGTTACATTTGTGAAGGCAAATATAGCTATGGAGAGATGCAACGAGGTTTTTGATTACCTGTCTAGGGGGAAATACCCAGATGGATATAATAAATCTCAGAAGTTGAGCTTGAAGAGATATGCTCAGAAGTTTACAATAAAGGGTAAGTAGGGAAAGGGCTATTCAAATGTGCATGTCTCAGAAAACATTGTTGTTTATGACTTTGTGATTGTTCACTGCAGAAGGACAGCTCTTCTATGGAAATAGAAGAGTGATCCATACCAGGACAGAAGCAAGGTCACTTTTCAGTGAATTCCATTCCTCTCCAGTTGGGGGGCATGCAGGGATCATTAAAACTCGATCAGCAATCTGCTCCAGATTTTACTGGCTTGGCATGTCTGTTGATATTGACAGATGGGTATGTGTTTGATGTGATTTATTTCTGTATTATGTTATGGACTCATTTAGTTCAGCCAATTAGATTAGAATCTAATTAATTAGTTTATCATGACAATTAACAGTTGTTTTCTTAAAGGTCTCAGAATGTGACAGATGCCAGAAGACTGGAAGATCTTTGGCTGCTGCACAGCCATTGCAAAGCATAAAGGTAAATGTATAGAGTGCTATTGTAGTGTAAGCAAAAAAAAAAAAAAAAGAAATTGTTATGATTCTCTTGTTTACAAGATGCATTAATCAATTCTTTGCACTTGTGAATAAAAGTAAGCATCTTCATTAAACTCCATTCACATATGTTTAATGACATTTGGGCTCATGTAAATGTATTAGGGATATAATGCAGTCAAGCCTGCAACAACTTTTCTCTTACTTATGATGGCCATGACATTACAGTCATTATTTGATGGCTCAAGTGGGCTGTCAGAATGTGCTGAAGTGGGAGCCTTATTTGATAGAACTTATAAGCCTGTCGAAATGAGCTACTTCTATCCAAAATCATATGAATGAGTAAATAATGGTGATTCTACAGTAAGAGCATTATTCGATGGCTAAATAGACCTGTTGATATGTGCTACCTTTAGTCGGAGCTCTATTTGATAGCATAATACAACTGTCAAAATGAACTACCTACGCATATCCATATTTGCATATTTGAAACTGGAGATAACAAAGGTTTAAAGTGTGATCACCGTGTGCAAACAGAATCAAACCTGCTGTTTCTAACCCAAAGAAATATGTTGTAAAATTGAGGAGGTTAGGCTTTATTGGATCTATACAACTGTAAACGGAAAAACGGAAAATCACTTATTTCGACAGGGTAGTGTGAATTGACAGACATCACTGTTGATTTAAGCTGCTGGTAGCTCATTTGGTCAGGGCAGCCCATTTCGACAGAACACTGGGCGGTTATCTAAAATATTGATACTTGCCTTTTATTTTACGTTATGCCTGATAAAATTCTATGACACTCTGTGGGTTAAATAAATAATTTTAAAAGATGAAAAAAAATCACAAATAGTGTACAATAATAACGTCAATGGTATTTTTAATTAAACTATAAAATAAAAATAATAATTAATTAATGTGTATTTATATTCTGCCCACGTCCGTACGTAACCGGAACAGAGCACTGAACCCGGAAGTAAACACATACGCCTACTCAGGAGCGCTCGATTGAAATTAAATCACTTTCGCTATCGCTTTACCCGCTTTACGGACACGTTTTTGCTTCGTATCGTTATTTAAGCCTATGGCAAAATGTCCGGATGGAGAAAATGTGCCTTTGGGTGTCGAGGATCCGTCATGTTTAAGTTTCCTAATGATGAGACGATTCGACAGAAATGGTCTGTATTCGTTTTCGGCGAAATATCTCCCAGAAACGCCTTTGTTTGTGCTCGACATTTCACAGACGACTGCTTTATGAACAAAGATTTATACGAGAGTGGAAGAATAAGCCGTCTGAGTCTAAAATCCACTGCTATCCCGACAATAAAAGATGTTCCTCCGCTAATCAAACCTGAATGGGTAGGTTAAACTGCAGCGACTGCTAAATTACATTGATCAATTTAAATGACTTGTATTATAGTAAATGTACAGCCCAGGCTACATTATTACTGAAAGAACTGACTATTTAGACCCCGTTTATAGAAGATATATGATTTTTCTAGCACAACATAAGTAGATTTCCATTTTGTATTTGTTCATTTTAAAACGCAATGTTGAGGAAAAATGGTTTGATAGTAGAAATGGGATAGTAGAAATGGGACAATCTACTTCCTGTAAAAATGCAGAACTGACAACTCCAGTCCTCTCATAGTGACCAGAAATAGGGGGGAGGTGAAAAGATACATTCTCATTAGCATTAGAAAGCAAGATTACTCAAACATGCTTGAATCACTAAAAACACAACTCTTAAGTGAGCTAATGCAGAGGGATAAGTATTGTCACATGATTAAAATCCCATAGGGTGATTTTGAACAAACTCCAAAGTAATTTTACACCTTTCTACAGTCGCTGACAAAAGTCTTGTTGCTTATCCATTTTGTAGAAACAAAAGCTTATAACCTGACTAAATTAATGGATTGGTTTTAGAAATGTCTCATATGAAAGCTAAAACCCTCCCAAATTATGCTCAATATACTAAAATAAATTTGCTTCACTGAAGAAAGATTGATCATTTAATGAACACAGAAAGGTCAGATTTTGGCAAGACAAAAGTCTTGTCGCCTTGTCAAATGATGCATTTTTGCTGCGCGTCTTCGGCGTCAGCGCGGCGCGTCTTGAGCGTTTTGGCGTCAGCGGTCAAGAAGTTGAAAATGCTGAACTTTTCGCGTCAGACGCGCCGCGTCAACCAATCAGGGACGAGTATTCAGTGACGCAGCGACGTCATTATCAGGAAGTAAGGCCCGAGAACCAGAGCGAGAGGCACAAACATGAGCGGAGCATAAATATATACGCCACAATCACCGAGCCGATCGCGAGGACTAGACCGGGACTAAACAAGGACTAGACCGGGAGTAAATCGAGACTAGACCGGGACCAAACCAGGACTAGACCGGGACTAAACAAGGACTAAACCGAGACTAGACCGAGACTAAACAAGGACTAGACCTTGAATAGACCGGGACTAGACCGTGATTAGACCAGGACTAGACCGGTATTAGACCAGGACTAGACCGGGACTGATCCAGTGTCATTAGCGGAGTATAAATATATATACGCCCCAGTCGTCGACCCGATCTCCTCCGCTGATGTTTTATGCCATAAAAACACTCTCTCAGTCTGGTCTGACATTGTTTCGGGAAAAGACCGGGACCGGGCTCTTGTTTCCAGGGCAACGGATGCGCGTTAAGTATTTTTGTCCCGTTCGTCCACGGCGTCAAAGACGCGCGTCTAAACTCAAATGAAAAGGCGTCCAAATAGAGGCGTCAAGGCGTTTTTTGACGCTTTGGTGTGAACGGCCCTCTAGATTACAGCCTCACCTGTGATCAGTTACTGATCAATCAATTAGTGGGTGTGTATAAAAGGAACCCCAGCACACCAGACCTTCACATCAACTGCAACTTGACCTCTGACAACATGCCTAAGATCCACCCTGAGACCAAAGCGTTAATTATCAAGAGGCTGAAGACCAGATCCACTGCTGAGGTGGCTGACACCTTCAATGTGTCTCAGCGTCAAGTACAAAGAATAAGAAAAAGATCTGAAATGACTGGAGATGTTTTTGACAAGCCCAGGTCCGGCAGACCCCGCAAGACAACTGCTCGGGAGGACCGTTTGTTGATTCAAAAATCCAAGGCCAGCCCCTTTTCCACTGCAGCAGAGCTCCACCAGGCCTGGTCACCTCAAGTCCCTGTGTCAACCAGAACAGTTTGTAGAATTCTGTCTCGAAATGGCCTCCATGGTCAAATCAGTGCACAGAAACCAGCACTAAACAAAAGGCAATTAAAAAACCGTGTGGCATTTGCCAAGGCCCACAGCCTGCTAAAAGGATGGACACTGGAAAAGTGGCAGAAGGTGGATTTCTCAGATGAATCCTCGGTTGAATTACATCACAGGTGCCGCAAATATTGCAGGAGACCTACTGGAGCCCGCATGGATCCAAGATTCACCCAGAAAACAGTTAAGTTTGGTGGCGGAAAAATCATGGTCTGGGGTTACATCCAGTATGGGGGTGTGTGAGACATTTGCAGGGTGGAAGGCAATATCAGTAGCCTAAAATATCAAGTATTAGCTACCTCTTACATTCCCAATCATAAAAGGGGTCAAATTTTGCAGCAGGATGGTGCTTCATCGCATACTTCTATCTCTACATCAAAGTTTCTCAAGGCGAAGAAGATCAAGGTGCTCCAGGACTGGCTAGCCCAGTCACCAGACATGAACATCATTGAGCATGTCTGGGGTAGAATGAAAGAGGAAGCATGGAAGGCAAAACCAAAGAATCTTGATGAACTCTGGGAGGCATGTAAGACTGCATTCTTTGCTATTCCTGATGACTTCATCAACAAATTGTATGAATCATTGTTGAACCGCATGGATGCAGTCCTTCAAGCTCATGGAAGTCATACAAGATATTAAATATGGATCTCACAGCACCACTACTTAATTCTCTGACATTATGCAACATATTTTTGTATTTGAAGTAAATTATTTGTTCAATTTTCTGTAGGTGACAAGACTTTCGTCTTGCCAAAATCTGACCTTTCTGTGTTCATTAAATGATCAATCTTTCTTCAGCGAAGCAAATTTATTTTAGTATATTGAGCATAATTTGGGAGGGTTTTAGCTTTCATATGAGACATTTGTAAAACCAATCGATTAATTTAAAGTCAGGTTATAAGCTTTTGTTTCTACAAAATGGATAAGCGACAAGACTTTTGTCAGGGACTGTAACAGTTGGATTTGTTTTGGTCAGTGGTCTGAGGAGCCTGTTGTCATCCCAACCAAGAGATCAGTGGGTACGCAGTTATCAGCTGGAACATTACGATACCATCGCAGTAAAGGTATGTTTTTATTTTCTGAACTACAAATCGCTATATCAATACATCACGCAATCAATACACATTCACTGCTCATGTAAATGTACCCAATCAGATAAAAAGAATAATCAGGCAGCCCAATAATTTGATCTGATTTTGGTGTCTATTTACAGTAGAGAGAAATCTGATCATCAAAATCACTTGGTGACATGTGATTGTCTAAAGATTTATGAAATTACTGTTGTATTTGGAAGACAAAGTGAAATCCATTTTAAAATAACCTTTTAACATTTTCTCTCTCATTTTGTCTTTGCCACTTTAGTTTGTCATTTTTGCACAGGTGTGAACAATCAGAAAGAAATCAGATTACTCACATCCGGTGTAACATGAATTTTCACTAATCTGATAACTCCAGAAATCAGATTATGATCAGATTGCCAGTGTGCCTGTAAACATAGCCACTTTTGTATTTGCTCCAACTCTTTTCTTGTTTTCTAATCAATATAAAAACTAGTATCGAAACTAAATCACATTATTTTGCTGAAAATTACATTCTGTTACTTAAAAAGGAGCATTTTTCATCTTTGTTGTTTTATTGTCATTAGTACTGAGTATTGCATCAATTCCTTAGTATCGAAATAGAGGTTGAAATTTTACTATCCTGACAACACTAATTTCTACAATGTTTTGTTTTTTTGTACAGGTATTCAAGCTACTGACAAAAGCATCCGTAAAGGCACAAGTATTTTAGAGCAGATCGGGCAAATACAGTCGTCTGCTGCAGTAAACAGAGCCAACCATGAGTCAGATAAGGGTCCTGCTGCTAAACGGATCTGTGTGAAAGAGGAGGAAGAGGAGGAGCACATTTCAGATCCATTACTTCCTCATAACTCCATGTACGAGCCGCGAGACTCTGATGCATCTGACCAGAGGTGAGATTTAATATTCATTCAAGTAAAAATGTTTCTCTGAAGTCTGAACTGTGCAGGGGTGAAAGTCAGTAAATACAAATAATAACCATTTTAGACTGCATTCACATTCTAAAACACACAAAGCTGACGTGTTAATCTTGGTTTAAAAGTCCTTTTTTAAACGGACAACAATCAAGTCATGTAGGGTTTACTGATGACAGAAATGCAGATATTTTGCCCTGGTTTATGGTTAATATCTTTGTAATTACTGGGCCTATCCACATAAAACAAAAACTAGCTCAAAGTTCAATGTTTTCAGTCAGTATAACTAAACAAAGGTGAAATTGCTTTAGTTTCAGAGCGTGGTGCCATTATTCAGTCCCAAAGATGTGATTGTTGTCAGTTGAAAGGTCTTAAACTATAAGATCTAAGATGTCACGTTTGTGGAGTTTATGGAGTTGTATTTTCCACCACTTGAACTATATCTTATAATGTTTAATTTATGTATTCTTTTTTGTTTTTGGACAGTGACTTGGAATCTGAATACGGTGATGCCAAATATATAGTTTCCGCGAGCAGCCTCAGAGAGTTGTTTGAGAGATGCCCGATTTGCACCAAACACTGTAAAGTAAAGCGTCGCAGGAGGGGGCTGTTGCTTTCCTTCAGTCAGACATGCCCTCACTGCTCGTACAGGCGCAGGTGGCAGAGTCAGATGGAAGAGCTCCTGGAGGTGCCTGTGACTGAGGATCAGAGCGAAAATGAAAACTCAGACTGTGAAAACCCATCAAAGGAGATTTTGGCTGCTCATGTCTTCATCAACCAACGTGGATCATATCAGAACCAGAACAGACTGGGACAGAACACAACGGAATACTCGCCCTGATTTTGGACCTCAGCACAAACGCACACAAAGCTGCCTCTTGTACATATGTACAGTTCCAATGCCAATTTATTGTTAATTACAAAAACATTGGACATGATGTCCCATTTATTTATTTTATTTGGTGTTTTGGTTCTCACGGCAATTATCCAATCAAAAAGCAAAATCAGCCTCACATGACTCTCATTTGTGTTGCCAGTTTCAATGCTGTAATTCATTTGGTTTAAACCTAAAATGCCTCTCTCTGATCTGAATGGTCACTACCTAAACCCCAGCAGCCGCAGCCAGTCATGAAGCAGTGCTAATGCAGCCTCTGCAGCTCAGGGTGGGAGGACTAGAGGTTCTGAGCTTTCACAAGAAAAGTATGTGTTCTCTATAGGCAGGTTTAGGGACTGGAAGTTGTGATTGTAATACTTCAGTTGTGATTGTAGTACATAAATAAGACAAACATTTAATCATTGTCATTTAAGACAAAATGTAATCTACAGTTTTTTTTTTTCCCCCTCCAAAGTCTGATCCCTGCTCTAAACCACATGCTTTTACTGATCGAGGATTTGCTGAAGACATCAGACCCGTGTTGATCATTGGTGATTAGAAATGACTGAATGTTACTCTTGATTTAAATGTGATGACCTGCACAGCCCTGGTGCTCAACAACTTTTGTTTCCAATGTGGATTTGGAGATGGTCTTTCTGTGTTTGTCCTCACACTGGCCCATTTTCTGCATTATGTTTATATTTTATATAGTTTTATTTTCCTTATAACCTTATTTAAAAGATGAAAGTGCATTGTGCCATATTTATTTTCATTTTCTCACAAAAATGAGTCAAGTGAGTGTAAATTTATGTTAAATGAACGTGTTCACAGATGATAGAAAACCAATGCTCTATTTGTTTTATATTAAAAAGACATCTTCTGAAGCGCGTCTATACTTACTGCAGTCCTGGGTCATACATGTAGGGGGGAGCATTTTCACACATTTTTCATTATTATTAACACCTTCATCAAAATCTGCTGTAACATAGGGTCATGTATACCAGATAACATGTTTAGTGTAAATTATTTTTCAGAGGTATTACTTTAAAAGTTTAATAGTAATGTAATGTGTTGCCTTGAAAATGGCAGTAGGGCCCATTTACACCTGTTTGAGCAGACCTCTCCTCTCTGTTTCTCCTCTCACCCTCCTCCTCCCTCCTCTCCTCCTCTCTCACGTGTTTGAGCAGTCCTCTCCTCTCTCAGCTGTTTCATCAAACCTCTCCTCCTCTGTCTCTCTTTCTCCTCCCCCCTCCTCTTCCTTCCTCTCTCTCACCTGTTTGAGCAGTCCTCTCCTCCTCTCCTCAGCGCTTTCGTCTCTGGCCTGTAGTTCTCTCTCCTGTTGTGTCTTCAGAGCTTGCAGAGTCACCTCTGCTCTGAGCTTACTGTCCTCTGAGGCCTGCAGCTCATCCTCCAGCTCCTCCATCTGAGTCCTCATCTCCTCCAGCATCATCTCCAGACCGCGCTTCACCTTCTCCAGATCGTGAACCTAACAAACAACAAAAAACACATTGTGGTTTCAAATTATGACAGAAAATAGCAAGTGACTTAAAGATGCACTATGTAACTTGGTTGAGGGTCAGTCACCTGCCTGTCTCTATGAGATGTTATTGCTTTGCCTTTAATGTTGGAGTGGCATTAAACTTGTGTGGTGTCACCTGTTCATCTTCATAGAAATGTTTAATACTGTGGAAGATTAAAGGCAAAGCAATGTTGTTGAGATGTTGTTGCGTTATAGTACCATGAGGAAAGTTACATATTTATACCCCTTTATAATTTACAATTACAAGATGATATACTTAAAGATACCATCAGTATTACAGATAAGATTTAAAAATTGTGAATTTCAGTCAATGCAGAGATATTAACTATAAACCAGATCTGCAAGAGCCAATTCTACAGCCAAATTTGTATCTGTCCTCTATATTTCAAACCATGGCTCTTACGTTTCTGCCCACATCGTCCTTGGAGCTGAGCAGTTCCTCCATCTCTGCCCTCAGACTTCTCATGTTGCGGTCGGAATCCTGTAGCGCCCCCTGTGTCTCCTCCAGGGTCCTGGTCAAGGCCAGGATCCTGGTCTCTCGGTCTCTCACCTCGGCCTCCGCTCGGTCTCTTTCCTCTGCAGTCCTGCTCGAGACTGCACGCTCCTCCAACAGAAGCTGCAGCAGAGATAATAACAGTTAAATTACTTAAAATAATGTAACTGTGAAACTTTTGTGGTGGAGGGTCCATGGAGACACCTCTTTGTCTCCAAAGTGATGTAACTGCATTGCAAGATGCCAGAGTATGTTTTTAAGCATATCTATATCAAATGTATTTTTTATTGCTCAAAAATACCTTGAATAACAATTTCTAGCAGGTTTACCCCTCCCAAGATTGGACCTGTAACTTGACCCAATAGCGTCACCTGCTTGTCTCCATGGAGATAATTTAATGCCTTGCTGTGGAACATTTCAAGCAGAGAATAATCTATCTATGGAGTGGTGGACCCTATAGTGGAAAATTAACTTAGTTTATCTTTAGTAAGATTGGACTATTTTTTTTAATATTGAAATTCATTTGGCTTCTGAGAATGCAGTTGTTCTTATTTCAAGCTAATTTATCGGCAAGAAAGAAAATTGTACTCAAAATAAGTACAGGTAATGGTGCTTGAAATCATACAAATTTATTAAACAAAGCTTCAAACCCCAAGATTATTTCTCATCTATCTGCTGCTCCCTCTCTCCTTCTGCCCCCTCCCTCTCTCCCTCTGCTCCCTCACTCTCTGTCTGCCCTTCACCTGGTCGAAGCGTCTCTGTTTCTTGTCCAGGCTGGCTGAGAGCTGTCTCTGCGTCTCCAGCTCCATCAGGACATCCTCCAGCTCCTGTTGCAGACGAACCCTGCTCCGCTCCAGTTTGTCCAGAGATGAGGCCTTCTCCTGGGCCTCGGTCTGGGCCTGATCCAGGTCTCTGTGCAGACGCTTCTTCTGCTCCTCCAAAGACTCCACAGAGGAGAGCGCCTCATCCAGACGCCGCTTCAGATCTGACAACTGCAACAAACAAACACAAGACAACTAAATGGAGTGCCACTGGAGCTGCTTTAACACAAAACACAGTAGGTTTCAGTATAGTACTGGGTTAATTCTGTTTTGCTGTCTTGGATCTAGACTCTGTTAGTTTTAATTTAAACTGGTTTTATCCTGGTTTTACCTGGTCTATAACCCTATTCTTATGTATCTCTGGTGGTTCAGACCTGGCTGTAGAGTCCTGGTTTAATCCTGACTATAATCTTTATGTGCTTTTGGTGGTTACTTTGGCCGTATAGCTCAGACCTGGCTGTTGAGTCCGCTCAGTTGTCTCTCTGAGCTCTGTCTGGCTTCAGTCTCCTCCTCCAGCTGCTCTATCAGACTGCTCCTCTCCTCCTCCATCTGACGCAGACGCCCGCAGAAATTGAGCTTCTGACGGCTCTCCTCCTCCAACAATGCCTGGGAGGGACAAAGAAAAAACACATTAGAAACACAGAAACAATTCATGATGATTCCTTCCTGAGCTACAGAGATTGGAGTTATTGCTTTGCCCAAAATTTTCCAAAATATGGCATAAAATGTATCACCATGGACACAGGCATTTGGCATCACCAGGCCAAGTCACAGGTCATATCTGTGAAGAGGCGATCCCACTCACATTAAGACTGCATGTTTTGAAAGGGGTGTATCAGTGTCTAATATATGAACGGGCCAATGTTTGTTTTGTTTTATTGTGCTGTTTATTTATTCTGTCTAAAACAAAAAAAAAGTATATATGTGTTTCAAGGTATTTTTAAGCAACAAAAGACATTTAATTGATAGATAAGTTTTATGCCAAACCGTGAAACATACCAGGCAAAGCAATGACATCTCCATGGAGACAAGCAGGTAGCTGAACCCACACCAGAAAAGTTACTGAGTGCCTCTTTAATGTTCTGTATAATATTGTCAATATTGTCTCACAGAGTAGATATACTGATTGAGTACCTGAACGTCGTGCAGTTGGGAGTTGAGGCTTGCCACGTCTTTGCTCAGTTTGATGTTTTTGCTTTCAGCTTCATTCAGTAAACTGTTCACTGAGTCAAGCTCCATCTGAAACAGGCAAAAACACACAAGGGGTAAAAACATGTCAGCAAAGTATGTTTCTTCAATCCAAGATTCAGGGTTTATCCGTCAATTGGATAAAAATATTCAGGGTTTTTCAATGACAAAATTTCAAAACTTTTTTTTCAAAACATTTTCCATGACCTAAAGTGAATTTTCCATGACTTTACAGCACCTACATGTGTAGAATTGATCATACTTTCAGGCCTAAATATGAAATGTTAACTCTTTCCCCTCACCTTATGGTTTGGGATTATAGTTTTTTTAACATTCAAATCCTGTCAGTGCATTTATTGTTGTCTCTTTTAAACAAAAGGCGCAGACGTTCAGAAATAATCATAACAGCCTCATGAGGACTTAAAAGAACTGAACTTAAAGAGCTGTAGTTGCGTGAAAAAGATACTAAAATTCCATGACTTTTCCCAAACTTTCATTGAATTTACAAAATTCTATGACATTTCCAGGTCTGGAAAATTACATTTGCAATTTCGATGACTTTTCCAGGATTTCCATGACCGTGGGAACCCTGAATATTGATAGTGATTTAGAAAAAAAATTAAAATACTAAACTTATTTATCTGATTCCACTGAAAGGTTTACTTACATACAAATACATAGAAAATAAGACAAAAGTTCAAGGTATGCTGATAAAAAAATTTGAGAGTGTAATTTCATTATTCAGTGCACTCCTCCTTTTGGTCAGCCTCCTTCATGTTCTGAGTGAGTGACAGGTGGACTCAGCCAATCACAGTGAAGTGTAATTGGTCATTGGTCACTTTTCACCTTCAAGGCACTCAAACACTTTACGTTAAGGAACTATTCACCCATTCACACACATTCATACACCAGTGTGCGCAGACACTTATGACGAGGGGGGTTAAGTGTCTTGCCCAAGGACAGAATTCATCTGTGGGAGCTGGAATCGCACCACCAACCTGTGGATCAGTGGATCTGATTGCTCTATCAATGATGTTTATGTCACCAAGAGCTGGATTTAAACCACCAACCTTGAAATCAGAGGAGAGCTACTAACTGCCAAGAGATGATACAAGAACTAGAAGAAGCAGCAAATGGCTTTAGTTTCCCTTAAGAGCAGATACAAAGACTCTAACTGCATAAATCATTTTCACAACTAAACATTTTTCAATCACTCAGTCACATTTTGTGGTTTGGTAGACCGTAGTGACCCCAAACTTACAGCCATCTTGTTGACTCTCTCTCCCAGCTCGTTCCTCTGTCGCTCGCCCTCGTTGAACCTCATCTGCAGGTCGCTCAGTTGACCTTCGACCTTTTTCTTCTTGTGTTCCACTTCCTGTTTGGCGCTGGATAGAGACTGGAGGTCGGCTCTCATCTCAGACGCCTCCTTCTCCAGAGCCTGCTTGGTCTTCTCCACACTGGAACGTACCTGACAGAATCACATTAAAGGGTTATTGCAGAGTTAAGTGTCGGGTTCAGTTCTGGTTTGATCCTGATTTAGTCCTGGTCCTGTACCCTCTTGGCCTGCTCCAGTTGCTCACTCATCTCCTCCAGACCCTGATTTAGTCCTGGTCTAGTCCTGGTCTAGTCTTGGTTCAGTCCTGGTTTAGTACTGGTCTAGTTCTGGTTCAGTCCTGGTCTAGTCCTGGTTTAGTCCTGGTTTAGTCCTGGTTCTATACCCTCTTGGCCTGCTCCAGTTGCTCACTCATCTCCTCCAGACCCTGATTTAGTCCTGGTCTAGTCTTGGTTCAGTCCTGGTTTAGTCCTGGTTTAGTCCTGGTTTAGTCCTGGTTCTGTACCCTCTTGGCCTGCTCTAGTTGCTCACTCATCTCCTCCAGACCCTGATTTAGTCCTGGTCTAGTCCTGGTCTAGTCTTGGTTCAGTCCTGGTTTAGTCCTGGTTTAGTCCTGGTTCTGTACCCTCTTGGCCTGCTCTAGTTGCTCACTCATCTCCTCCAGACCCTGATTTAGTCCTGGTCTAGTCTTGGTCTAGTCCCGGTTTAGTACTGGTCTAGTCCTGGTTTAGTCCTGGTCTAGTTCTGGTTTAGTACTTGTCTAATCCTGGTTCAGTCCTGGTTTAGTCCCAGTCTAGTTCTGGTTTAGTCCTGGTCTAGTCCTGGTTTAGTCCTGGTTTAATCCTGGTTCAGTTCTGGTTTAGTACTGGTCTAGTCCTGGTTTAGTCCTGGTTCTGTACCCTCTTGGCCTGCTCCAGTTGCTCACTCATCTCCTCCAGGCTCTGGTTGTGTTTCTGTCTCATTTCTTGTATTTGAGCTTCACGAGCACGTCCTTCATCCTCCATTGCCCTCTTCAGCATCATCACTTCCTGTTCACGCTTTGCCCTGTCCACAACAACAAAATGTCAATATATTGTAATCTAGGAAGCTCCTCATGTTTTTAAACTCCATACACCTTCACAGTATTGTCCAATTGTGTCAGTGCTCAAATACCTCTTGTAACTACTCAAATTCCCAGACAGTTCATTTTTATAGCGCTCTCTACTCATTTATGCCCATATGTAGAACTTGTAAGTAAGCTGTAAGCCAAGATTGGTATGGCAAGATAGTGGAGCCAGTCCCTCTATGTTTGTGAATTAGACTCTATTCAAATAAACAATAAATAAATAAAATGGGCTATAGGATGAGGAAAATCATCTGAAACCCAGCCATAGTCTAATACTTCTCAGACCTTAGCTCCTGTTGTGCTGCTGTAGTGTCCAGACTATCCTCCAGCTCGGTCCTCAGATGGTGTAGCTCTGTCTCCAACTCTCGTCTCTGGGCTTCGGTTTTGTTCCTCTGAGATCTTTCCTTCTCCAGGTCCTCCTGCAGTTCAGACAGGAGACCCTCCAGCTCTCGGACCTTCTTCATTGTCAGCGCACGCTGGGAACTCTCCTCCTCCAGTCTGTATGAAAAAACATAGATCTTAGTTAAAGGTGCTGTACCTGATTTAAAAAACATGAAACACAGATCTTATGTATTCAGAGCACTGTAATTATTCACAATAATTGAACAACATTTAGAGGCTAGAGCAGAGTTTTGCTGTCATGGTAACACTAACAACAACTAGTATGCTAACAGTGCAGTTTCTGATTCTTGAAGGATAAACCAGTTTATAATAAGATGAAAACAACACAGTGGTATTATTTCTACAGTTGCTTATACCATATACTATCATACAGCCTTTTTAAGGAGTAATCATAACTAGAATATGTTTATGTACTAAAGGTACACTATATAACTTTTTTCTGAGCCTTCAAGACTTCAAGAGTCTACCTGCTTATTTCCATGGTGATGCTATTGTACTGCCTGGAATGTTCCACAGTCTAGCATCAACTCTACGGACGCTATGGAGCAGGTAACTAAATTACAGGTCAGCTTTGTGGATAGGTGAGTGTGCTCACAGTAAGAATGCTACCATTAAAATCTTACCATTAAAATCATCTACAATTGAACAAAGGCAAAATATTTGATGTTTAATGCCATAGTGTAAAACATTCAAGGCAAAAAATAGAATCTGCAAACAGACTAGCAGGTAACGTACTCTCATAATGTACCTTTAATCTAAATGTATGAAATTCAGTAAATAACTTTAAATCATGTGGGTATTCATATTTGTGCTTATCTTCTTGAGGTGAAAATAACAATATAAACTGGTTTAAAGTTGAAAAGTTCTTGTACCGTGCGTTGACTGCCTGCAGTTCCTCCTCCCGGGCTGTAAGCTGCGCTCTCAGCTCCTCCAGTTGTCTAAGGAGGTCGTTGTTCTGCTCCTGCGTCTCTCCGAGCTCCGCCTCCAACTTCTTCTTCGCCTTCTCCACATCCTGACGACTCTTCTCCTCTTTCTTCAACCGCACTGAGAACAACAGAACAAAAACATACTATGCCATCATGAAAAGCAAATGTATGCCCTCTATCTCTATAGTTTATGATTTCTCTGTGTTACCTGCATCAGTCTATAATACTGCATATTTAAGGTACGGCCCCTGTGTGCTGAAGCAAGTTTAACTAGTGGCCACTCTGTAGTACTGCAGCTCTGGCCCAGAGATAATTCTCCCATAGAGCACAATGTATTTTTGTGAAACCAAACTGCCTGGCCGCATCTCATTTCTCTTTCCTCACTTCATTCTCCTCCATTCTGCAGGAAATGAATGAGGAAGTCCCACTCACGGAGGAGACACAAGGAGGAGACAGGATCTAAACTCCTCACTGAGACCAATAAAGTTAGATCCTTTTATCTGTTGTCTACCTCCTGAAGCCTCCTCCATGTTTACTCCTTCCTTCTGTGGTTTTCTGTGGGGCACTACTTAATATGACACATCTGATTGACAGCTGAAAAATGGAGGATCGAGGAAAGGAATCAAGGAGGAGGAAGCAAGGATAGAGAAATGAAATGCGCCAGTAGACAAGTACAGCTTTCACAAGGGTTGAAGTTTGAAGAGCTTATTATTATAATATTTTCAAATCTCCTGGTTTTCCTCTAAAAGACCTATCCTGTTCACTGGCAGATCTACAATATTAATCTCATTTGAGCATGGGCGTGGTGCATTCACTGACCCTCCAGCTCGGAGATCATAGACTCATGTTTGGTCTTGAGTTTAGTTAAGTTCTTGGACTTTTCTTCTTCTTCTGCTAAATTTGAAGTCATGTCGGCGAGTCGCTCCTCCAGTAACTTCTTCTCCTGAAAAGCAGATCATGTTAAAGTTATTAGTTTTCCCTGAAACTTTTATACTCAAGCTCAGATTTCCTCTGTTTAAACCGTATTTAGATGTGGTTTAGGGCTGTTTTATTCGTAGTCAAAGCTTTGGTATACAAATTTATTCTTGTAATTGAAAAAAATTTGTTTTCCCCCCAGTATGTTATGAAAGCATCCCTTCATGTCAAAATCTGACTATGAGCTATGTGCTATCTGCATCTAATAATAAATCTAATATAAAATAGATTTATTATTAGATATATTTATTATTAGATAATAAAATATATTATTTTTTCATAAATCCAGAAGCAGTAGTAGCAGCACTACGATCAACAAGGCTTTGGTGGTCTGCCCCAGTTTCACTTTGCTGTATGAATGCAGCATATTTAGTGGTTTACTCCTTGATCTTAAATTTCTTGTGAATATAGTACAATATTTTTACATGTAAATTCCCACCTTCTGCAGTTTGTTGTTGTTGTCGTCCATCATCAGAATCTCCTCCTCCGTCTTCTTCACTTTTGCATCTAAAGAATTTTTCTCCATCTGAAGTTTCTGGAATGCGTCCTCCTGCTCCGCGATATGAGCCTCCGCGTGCTGCAAAGAAAGTGTAAGAGCATCATGATGATCATGAACTCTGAATGAAAACATGCTCTATAGGATACTGGTTAACCGGCTGCACTGTTTGAGCACTGCAAAGAATATGGGTAAAATAAATGGTTACATGGGAAATGATGTTCTATCTTCAAGGCACTCTTAGATTAACATAAATGAACTCCTTGCCCGTTCACACACCAGTGCAGCAGACACTGGAGGCGAGGGTTGTTTAGTGAGTTGCCCATGGACACAACAACAGTATTCACCTGTGGGAGCTGAGATCTAACCGCCAACTTGTGATTAATTTTTGCTCCACCAACGATGTTTGTTGGGAGCAGGAGCAGCTGACAAGTGTATGGACTTCCTTGTCAAAATAAAATGTACTGCTGATCACTATTTGCAAACAATATTGAAACATACAAATGTGACAAATCAGATAGATAGATAAACAAATTGAAAAGGAAATTCAGTTGTATTTTTCTGCACACAAGCAGTGACTTACATCAGCTAATATTTTATAATTCTTGATAATTATCAAGAATTATTAATTAAATAATTAATTATTTTTGCCTTAACATTTTAAAACAGGTCTAAGTGCCTAGTACTCTAATACATCTAAAACAGAGAGGAGCTGAAATACTAGGAGGGTTCTTTGTACCTGTAGCTGCTGCTCTAGCTCCTTCTTGTGGTCGTGCAGAGAGTTGGCTCTCTCCTCTTCTTCCTCCAGTCGGACCTCCATCTCCTTGAGCACTTCCTCCAGCTCCTTGTGTTTGGCCTCCAGCCTCAGTCTCATCTCCTCGGCCTCCGTGTACAGTTCTGTCTCTGTCTGCAGCTTTATCTCCAGAGCAGCACGCTCCTCCACCAACTACACACACAATACAAGGACATTTGATATGTATTATGCTATTGTACCTAATTTTTACTGTCTTAAAGAGAGACTATTTGACTTCTACAGGGTATTTACTGCTAACACATTACATATTTACATCACTATGTTACCTTGTTTCAAAAATGCAATATTTGCCTTCTAAGACACTCTCCCTTCAAACTAATATCACAACACAATTCAAATGCATCCCACTAACCTACTAAGCTGCTGTGTACAGTTTTGTATCATGTTTTTGTATATTTATGGAGAACTGTCATGTGATGTAGGTTTGTGGGTGGAGCATTGAACACAATCTTAGAGCTAATTGTAAGGATAGGAAATAGGAAATAGAAATAGGGCCCAGAAGAGATTGCTAAATTACTAAAACATGCATGAATGACATATAAAATCAAGCATTTTTCTGATGAGGGAACAACATAATAACATGGTAGAAAGCTCAAAAAAAATATTTACATAATACACTTTAAAAATATGAAAACAACAAAACAAAAACAAAACATTTTAAAGAACAGAACTTTGAAATAATGTCTATATGGCTGCATTTCTTAGCACTTTGTTTGGGTATTCGTACACCCTCTCCTGGCAACTGTGGGAATACACCACAAAAAGCTGCTATGCTCACAGATCCCTGACAGCTACTCCAAGCATTCTAAATGAAAAGGAAAGAACTAGCAGGAAAGAAGAGGGTGAATAATAGTTAAATATGTAAAATACTGCTCCATATTAGTCCAAAATAAACCCACTTTATTTTAACAGGTCAGACCTGGGTGTGTTTCTGTGTGATGTCTTTAAGCTCCGCCTCCGCTTTAGCCGCCGCCTCTCTCGCTGCCTTTAGCTCCTCCTCCTTTTGACCCATTTCCTCTTCCTGTCGGGTCACCTGCAGCAGCGGCTTCACCTGGAATAAAACATATCACAATATTCATAATGTTTTCAATGGGGACATGTGGTGTGTACGAGCCTATTTTGGGTCTAGTGTATGATAGGTGTTTATGTTTATCGTGATAATGCAAATCTTTAATATTTATTTCTTGTTATATGATAAAAATACTCAGTGAGGAGTTTAGATATACTTTCCTCGTTGTGTCTCCTCTGTGGGAGGGAATTTCTCACCCATCTCCTGCAGAATCGAGGAGCGGAATCAAGGAGAAGGAGGTGAGGAAAGAGAAACCAGAGTGTGTGTTTGAGTGGGTTGGAAGCGAATATGGGATAATGAATGGAGTACATGGCTACAGTCCGGCATATTTACAGCCAAAATGCAGTGTGTGAAAACCTGGTGAAAAACTACAGGAAACGTTTCACCTCTGTAATTACAAACAAAGGCTACTGTACCAAATATTAACATTGATTTTCTTAGGTGTTCAAATACTTATTTGCAGCTGTATCATGCAAATAAATTGTTTAAAAAATCATACATTGTGATTTCTGGATTTTTTTTTTTTCAGATTGATTTTTGGATTATTTATTTATTCGGTCACAGGTATATTTTGACATTAATTCACAGACATATTTAATATACACAGACTGAAAAGGTGTAGGCTGAAGCGTAAGCTTATTATGCCTACCCTTTATTCCTTTGTCATAGAGACTATGTCTCTCACAGTGGACATGCACCTACGATGAAAATTTCAGACCCCTCCATGATTTCTAAGTGGGAGAACTTGCAAAATAGCAGGGCGTTCAAATACTTATTTTCCTCACTGTATCTGTGTTCATTAACATTCACTGTCTCCATTAAATAAACCTATAATAATGTTGTATATATGTTACCCAGTGCCAGTACCTTAGTGAAGAGCCTCCACCACTGCCAGTTCTTCAGTTTTAAATAACAGGCACAGTTTCTCTGGATCACCTTCATGGCCGTGAGCTGCTGCTGGCGCTTAGAGAATGCCCTGGAAAAGAATGATCATAAATGTGAGTTCATTTACATCAGAGCTGAGAATTTTCAAAAGGCCACATTTTAGGAATACAAAATAATATCTCATGTAACTGAAGAGATTAAAATAAACTTAAACAATTGTGTATTTACTTTCTGGCGAGGAAGCCTCTGGCCTGAGCCTGGAATGCAATGATGACGACAGTGAGTTTGAGGTCGCGCTCTTCCTCTAGCTGAGCCAAGACTCCGGTCCTGAAGAACATTTTACTCTGACCGATCCGGAACAGGTTTGGGTCCAGGTCCAAGTGCTTCACCTGAACACAGATCCAATTTGACAAAGTTTCAATAAAGGTTTGTTTCTTCACTAAAACAGTCTGATGTGAATGTATCATATATGAGGTATTTAGTTTTTTCATGTAAATTTATCAGTGAGTAGAGTAAAGAAATGCATGCTTTTATCTTAATGTAGACTTGGTTTCATACTGTTCTAGTCCTGGTCTAATCCAGTTTAAGTTCTTTGTTTAGTGCAGATTTTCATGTGGTGTGTGAACACACCAATAATCTTAAGCAGGCTGTAGCCCAAAAGAGCTTAAATACATTATCTCACCATCAGACAGCAGGCCTGTTTTCCATCCATGAATCCTTTAGGAATCGCATTGGCCGCCAGGATCTCATACCTGAAATTAGAATGACAACTCCACAGGTTTAGACTTCAAAATAAAACATCAGAACTTTTCAAAATAAAAGCTTGTCATATTCCAACCTCTGCCTGAACTCCTGGAACACGATGCGGTTTGGGAATCCCTGTCTGCAGATCCTGATCCCCTCCAGGACCCCGTTACACCGGAGCTGCTCCAACACCAGCGGGGCGTCCATTTTACCGGCCTGGAATACAACAATACGATACAGTGATATTAACCATGTACAACACGGAAAAATGGAGTATCTTGTGATGCATGATACAATAGGTAAGACATCTGAATGAGCCAAAAATTACTCAGAAAACATTGAAATTTGAACTCTAAAACAGGTACAGAAAAAGAAATAATGAGTGAGTATCACACAGCAAAAAAAACACTCCGACACAGCAGTTGCAGCTGAGTGAGGCATGGCTTTTAAATTCAAATTACAAATCTTTTTTTGAGTTGTTGACTCAAGATTTCAAGATATTTTTATTTCCAGAAAAAAAATTGTAGTGGTAGTAGTGGTTGTAGTAGTAGTAGCAGCAGCAGTAGTAGTTGTACTCTCTTTTCAGGGTTGGGGATGATAATAAAATATTTTCTTTACAGTGCAGCATCAGTAGCAGTCACAGTAGTAGTAGAAGTAGTAGAAGCAGAAATAGTTGTAGTAGTAGTAGTAGTCATACCCTCTTCTCGTGATTGGGAATGATGCAGCGGACAAAGTTTGGCTGTGTGTTGTGTAGAGTTGTCATGAGTTTCCCCAGAGACTCTTTGTAGAGCTGCCCCACTGTGCGGAACATTCCCTTTTTGGACTTCGTTGGGACAGAACTCTCTGACATTTTGGTCAAAGTGTCCAGACCCACCACCCGGTCCACTGTAAAGAGAAATAAATAAGTAAATAATTAAATAAATAAACACAATAACAGGGCACAGGATAAAAAATGTTACGTTACATTCAGACCACCTTACAGAAGAGGCATAAACTCACATTTTCTTTGATAATTTATCATAAAAAAAAAAAAAAATCATTAAAAAAAACATTTTTCTACAAGCAAAAGTGCCAAACTAAAACACCAAGTCACTTGTGCTTAGTTGGCATAAGTGACCTCAAGATACCTTAAAGTATGTAACTTTTAATCCAAGAAATAAAACTTCAGTAAAAGCATGTATGGTTGTTTTTATTGCACTGAAAAAATGAGATAAACAAGCATACTTTCTGCATGCAGGCTTGCATCACCTTATTTGGTGGACTCTTATATTTGTTTTGTTTCCATGGAAATGTTGTTCTTTTGGCAATAATCTTCCACAGTATGGCATTAAACTTATCTATCTCCTTGGAGAATGTTCCAAACTTTACTTAAACTGGTCACTAAATTTTGCTTTTAGATACTAAATTCATTTAATTGATTTTTGGAATATATATCATCTAAATCATTTCAATTAAAATTAATCAAAATGTGTGCAAGTATACTGTATTGTGAAATGCATAGTACTGATTAATATTTAAATCGATCAATCCGGCCATCCCTTTCTTTGTAGTCCTCCCCTTTAAAGCCCCTCACCGTCTTTCCACAGATCCTGGATGAAGCTGTTAGAAGAGTTGTTGAGTAAAGCCGTCACATTGTCGTTCAGTGGGTCCATGTTCTTCGTTAACCAGCTGGCAGCGTTATAGTCCACCTGAAGAAAACAACGGGGAAAATAATATTAACAATTATAACAATTAAAATTCATATTCTCATTATCATAGACTTTTGGAGACTTTTTCTAATACTCCTTTCAACTGTATAACAACTCACCCTGATGGAACAGATAATACTCCTTAAAACTTTACAACAACTCACCTTTATGTGACAGATAATACTCAAAGCATTGGACAGAATCTTACAGCTAACCGTAAGGAGGGTTTGAATAGGGCCCGGGAGAGATCACTAGATTACTCAAACATGCATGAGTGATATAAATTGGTCAGTACCTTCCCGGCGTAGTGCAGGACAGTGAACATGAGCTTGTCTTTGTGCTGCTTCGGTTTGGAGAATTTGACGTGTCCAGAGTGAGTGCTCAGGAGCTTCTCCACAAACGAAGTGTCACTGGCCTTCGGGAACCAGCACTCCTCATCCAGAAGAGCCAGAATACCAGGAGGGTTATTCTGAGGGAGAGAAAGAGAGAGAGCGAGAGGGGGAGAGGGAGGACGGGAAAGAGAGGGAGAGAGAAAGAGGGAGAGAAAGAGGAAGAGAGAGGGAGAGAAAGAAAGAGAGAGACAAATAGAGAGACAGATAGAGAGAGAAAGGGAGCGAGAGGACGGGCAGAGATGGAGAGAGAGAGAAAAGGGGAGAGAGAAAGAGGAAGAGAGAGGGGAGAGATAAAGAGGGATAGAGAGAGAGAGAGAGAGAGACAAAGAGTGAGAGGGAGGTGAAGAGAGGGAGAAAGAGGGGGAGAGAACGAGAGAGAGAGAAAGAGAGGGAGAGAAAGAGAGAGAGACAAAGAGGGAGAGAGAGAGGGCGAGAGGGCAAAGAGGGAGAGAGAAAAAGAAAGGGAGAGAGAGGGAGAAAGAGAGCGGGGGAGAGAGTGGTAGAGAGACAAAAAGGGGGAGAGAGAGAGGGACAGAAAGAGAGAGAGAGAGAAAGAGACAGAGTGGGAGAGAAAGAGAGGAAGAGAGGGAGAGAAAAAGAGGGAGAAGGGGACAGAGAGGGAGAGACAAAGAGGGAGAGAGAGAGAAGGCGAGGAGGGAGAGAGACAAAGAAAGGGAGAGAGAGGGAGAGAGACAGAGAGAGAGACAGGGAGAGAGAGGAGGGGTAGAGATGGAGAGTGTGAGAGAAGATACAATATAATTACAGTTCAATTCTTAAGAAGTGCTTTTTCACATTGTTCATCTCACAATTTTGAGTATTAGAGGTAGGACTATTCTATTATAGGTACACTGGATCAAAAATCAAAATGTCAAATTTTTTCCACTTATGCACATCTCTTTAGGCTAAAATAAGTTTGCTGTGTGATGTCTGAGTCCAATTAGAAGGTTTGAAGAATTGTCAAAGAAACAAGAAGTGCACAGTTAGTATTCTAGATGTTGTTAACATTATCATGACAGTTTATAAACTCATCATGCGGAATAATTAGGATGCTTAAAATCTATATGAAGAAGGAAGATGAGGAGTTTAGACCACGGCAAACTGTTTTAAAGGTGCACTGTGAAACTTTTTGGTTGGGGGTTGGTTGGATATGTCACTGCTCTGCCTGGAATGTTCCACAGTATGACATTAAACAGCTCTACCTTACAATTATTCAATTACAGGTGGTTTTATAGCTCAAAAATACCTACAAAAACAGGCATTCTACCTGTGAGTGGGGTCCCCTCACCACAGATCTGACCTGTAACTTGGTTTGGTTTGGTCTCCATGGAGATAGAAAGGTTTAATGCCATACTGTGAAATGTTCCAGACAAAGTAAGCACCTCCATGAAAAAAAGCATTTGATAGACCCTCCACGAGAAAAGCATAAATAAAAGTAATATAATGACTGACCGGTCTCTCGATGAGCTCAATGCAGGGCTGCAGGTCCAGGCCAAAGTCGATGAAATTCCACTGGATGCCCTCCCGCTTGTACTCCTCCTGCTCCAGGATGAACATGGTGTGGTTGAACAGCTGCTGCAGACGCTCATTTGTGTAGTTTATACACAGCTGCTCAAAAGAGTTATCCTGAAATCAAATACAACACATATAACTTTTACATTTAGATCTGTATTATGCAAAATGTATGATTCTGTATTGCATGGCATCTCTTTCTTCGCTTCCTTCTCCTTGTTTCCTCTTCTTGAGCCTAAGTTTTTCAGCTGTCAATCAAATATGTCATATTAAGCGGTGTCCTGAAGAAAACCACAGAACGAGTAAAGATGAGGGAGGCTTCAGAAGTAGACATCAGAAAAAAGAATCAAACTGTCTTGGTCTCAGTGAGGAGTATAGATCCTTTCTCCTCATTGTGTCTCCTCTGTGGGCGGGGCTCCCTCATCCATTTCCTGCAGAATCGAGGAGAGGAATCAAGGAGAAGGAAGCGAGGAAAGAGAAATGAGACGTGGTCATAGACATAAAGAATAAGGATAAAGGATAAAGGCTTATCAGAAGTGATCTGAGCAACCACAACAAATGTAATACTATAAACAACAAAGCAAGAAAATAACGCTGTGTGCACTAATGCTGCAGGACACAGAGGAGGGACACTTTTGGCTCTTCCTCTCCTCAAGGTGAGAAAGAACCATTCCTGGAGACAGCAGCAAATCTTGAATTTCCCTTGGTATCAATAAAGTACTTACAGTATATCTCTCTAATTACCTGTTCCAAATGTATTAGCAGCCAAAAGTTTATGACTTTTCTAACATAAAAAATCTGAACCCACTCAGTTCAAAGTGAATTGTGTCAAATGGTCAGTTATCTAAGAAAGTCTGGCATCTCACCTCAAATATCTCAAACCCGGCGATGTCGAGGATGCCGAGGAAAGAGGAGGCCTGTCTCTTGCTCTTGTCCAGAGTCTTGTTCACGCGAAATAAAATCCACCGAAACAACCGCTCGTACATCGCCTTTGCCAGTGCCTCCACCGCAAAGTCCGCCTGGAAACACAAAATGCACACATTTAATTTATTTTTAAACATCTTTTTGCGACATTTAGTAATTAATTTCATCATATCCAGATCTAAATTTTATGTGATATACTTTTGTTTGATGTAAACCACATTACTGATCAAATACAGCTCAATAACTGAAACAGACTTCCTTTTCGTAGTGGCATTTGTTTTTCATTTCAGAAGCCAGCAAATGCTTTTTATGATTTTCACAGTTTTCATTTTTTGTATAACTCAGAGGTAAAACTTTTTGAATAACTGCAATAAGTACAGAGCAGTAGGCGGGGATAGGGGGTAGGTGAAACAGGACATAAAAGTTGATTTTTCAAAATATGTCACCTTTAAACATGTCAGTTATTCTTGCAGTGATAAATTGCATCAGAATTTGTTACATTATTCTATCAATCCCCATTTTTACTTCCTCATAACCTTAGAAATACTGTTACCTGTTGCTTGGTCTGGGCCTTCTGCACCACTTCCCTCCCCACTTTGATTCTGGGAGTAAGGATGGCGCGAGTGAAGTCAGTTACATTGATGCCCTGTAGGTGGCACACTTTCTGAGCAGCTGCAGAGAAAAACAGGCGGAATTTGTACACAGAATTACTTAAATTCAAATATTAATCTGGATTTCACACAAAACAACACAAAACCTTCAAAAAAGCAATATAATTAGAAAAAAACATGAAAACCTGTTACATGCACTTTAAGTAATACTGGGGGTGAGAGGTTTACCAGTAAGCCTTCAAAGCCTCATAAACAAATACACTGTTAAACACTAAGTGATACTGGAGTGTATCAGAGGTTTACCAGTATTATCGGGCATCGTGGCTTGTTCACTGTTTCGTTCTTTCTCGAAGTTGATGTTTCCGAGCTGTAGCACTGTGGACACCACCTTCAGCATCCCTATGACAACACAGAAGGTTTGTTTTACATAAAGCCGATTTTAGATTCAGTTCACAAACTCACAAACCCAGAGGAAGCCAGATGGTCTGAACCACTGGTGGCCACAGGAGGCAGCATTGTAGTTTTGGCCAAATGTGACGCACCCAAACAAACCATAACAAACATTACAACGCCAACACATGTATTTCAGACTATTTTTTTTTAAATATGCAGTGGTAAATGCTTTGTGTATTTGTGAGGGGAAAGATGTTTGTGCTTTTCTCTCAACAAGATTTATCAAAAGTTTAATTTCTTGGTTTGTTCTGCTGTTTGTCCAGTCAGATTCAAGTATTGAGCTGGACATTCCTCCTTTTCCCGATCTCTTTCATACTGATAAATGTGTACAGCTAAATTCAGAGTGCTACACATATACTAGTACACATATATATGTGTAATGAGCCTGTTGTGTACCCATCCTCTCCTCCTCAGTGAAGCCCATAATCTCCATAGCCTCCAGCGTCTCTGTGAACATCTCATTGTCCTCCTGTCCCGGCACCTCCACGTGTCCTTCCATCAGGAACCGGTAACTGTTAAAGGCCTCCAGCAACAGATCCTCTGGAACACAAGGGAGGAGGAATGAACTTCAATGAAACCTTCAAATGTGGAGGAGGTATGAACTTTGTGTATTTACTCAAAAGAGCTGTACCTGATTTTCACTTTTAGGTTTAATTTTAGGTTAATTTATTTGCCAAAAACACACACACACATTGGAAAATGCTCAAATGCCCTAACCAAAAAGTTACATAGTGCACCTGCTATGTACGCCTCATGGTGCACTATGTAACTTTTTTGTTGGGGGTCCGTCAGCGTCTTGTTTCTATGGATATGTTAATTCTCTGCCTGGAATGTTCTGCAGTATGACATTAAACAGCTCTACCTTTCATTTATTCCATTACAGGTGATTTTATGGCTCAAAAACACCTAGAAAAACAAGCATTCTGACTGTGAGCGGGGTCGCCTCTCCACAGATCTGACCTGTAACTTGGTCTGGTTTGGTCTCCATGATAATAGAAAGGTTTAATACTGTGAAACATTCCAGGCAAAGCAATAACATCTCCACAGAGAAAAGCGTCTGACAGACCCTCCACCAAAAAATTACACAATGCACCTTTAATTACAAAAATCAAATCTTCAAATGTGCTTGGAGACTAGAAAGGATATGTCATATTCTAAAAGACAAATTGGACGATTGTGAACAAATGAGGGAACCACTGAATTTGTATATGGAAAGAATGGGCAGATGAATGGAGTAGTACACAGTGGAGACAAAGAGTAAATATGGAGAAGTTTTTTAGTTTGTTTTTTTTACTAAACTCTTTTTAGAATTTAGTTATTGTATAGTTTTTGTATTATGTCTTAGTTTGCCTCAGTGTGTCATCTGAGTTAAATCAAAATCATTCAGTATTATCATAAGTATTGATTTCTGTTAACTATAATCCAGACATAGAAAAAAATACTGATGGTGATTTTCCTGCAAACATCCAATAACATAAAACGAGTGATAATAGATCAGTAATCAAACCCACAACCTCCTCGCTCATAATAAAAGCTCGAGTTCAGACCTTTCATCTTGTCCTTCGCTCCGGCCACCATGTAGTAGAAAATATGGAAGGACCTCTCTGTGTGAGCCTGACGAATACACCGCGACTTCTCCAGTAAATCTGAGCATCATGTATTCAGGAAAACACAAAAAAAAACCATGGTGCTTTGCTTCAGAATGAATGAAATCTATTTTTTTTCACATATGAGAAGGATACAGGTATCAATGTTGGCTCCCACAATATAACCGGTCACATCAAAGTTCAGCTTGATAAACTTCCCCTGAAAACAACAGATCAATGAGTTAAGAAGATAATGTTTCATGTGCATAACTCATATATTTATTCTTAAAGTATAAGTAAAGCCGTACAAATCTGGAGGAGTTGTCGTTCTTGATGGTCTTGGCGTTCCCAAAGGCCTCCAGGATGGGGTTGGCCTGGAGAAGCTGTTTCTCCAGCTCTCCCTGCAGGACACAACAAAGGAATACACGTTCAATAATTGGTTTATTAAAGGTGCACTGTGCAAGTTATTACCTCCGCCAAGGAGGTTATGTTTTTGCCGGCGTTTGTCTGTTTGTTTGTTTGTTTGTTTGTTTGTCTGTTAGCAACATAACTCAAAAAGATATGGACCGATTTTGATGAAATTTTCAGGATTTGTTGGAAATGGGAAAAGGAAGAACTGATTTCATTTTGGGGGTGATCCGGAAGAAATCCTGGATTCTGGATCACTTTGAAATTTTAGTTAACATTGTGGTAAATGGGGCCAAAAATTTTGTTTCTCAATATCTCGGTTAATTATTGACCAAACTCCATGAAATTTGACTCAGGGATGGACAATGGGATCCTCTTTCATATTCCAAAGGCTGATCCGGATCTGATCCAGAAGACTGATTTTATCGCAATTTATATAAAAAATGGGGGTAGTCCTTGGCGGAGGTCTGCGCTCTCTGAGTGCTTTTCTAGTTTGTACTTAAAATATGCAGAATATATGTCTCCTTTAAAGGTGCTTTGCACAACTTGGAGATGTTATTGCTTTGCCTGGAATGTTCCATGGTATGACTTTAAACATATCCATCTAGCATTTATTCATTACAGATGTCTCAATTGCTCAGAAAGCGACTCTGTAATCTAGCATAGTGCTGTAACCTGCTTGTGATAAATAGGTTGAATCTATACTGTGAAACATTCTACACAAAGCAATAGCATTTTCATGTAGACAAACCAGTTAAGGGCTCTCAGTGTTACGCTATGCACCTTCAAGTAAAGTTTGTTGAAAGGTTGACTTCAGTTTTCCTGCAGGGAAATAAGTAGCTCTTTGACATGTTCTTAAAATAATACTAATGGGACAACTGCACAGGGACGTGACAGACCACAGTGCAGTGTGACCTTCCTCAGATTTAGAGAGACTCCAAAGCTGAAGGGTCACTGATATTTACTGATATTTAAAAATACTCACAAAAGCCAGAGATCCCGGTTGTTGCTGTAAAATAACAAGACAAAGATGTTTAAATGGGTTTATATAATGTTCAATTTGTCCAGCAGGGGTCACTCACAGGGTTGGCATCCTTTTTTCCTTTGTGAGACGAGGCGATGACAGCCAGATATTGAATCACCTTCTTTGTGTTTTCAGTTTTTCCTGCTCCAGACTCTCCTCTGAGACACAACACAAGGGCAGGTGAAAAGACAGCACATGCATGACTAGTAAAAGCTATTTAACAGTTTTTATAATTTATTAAAAAAAAGAAAAAAAAGAAAAAAAAGAAAGGAGGGCTGAAGGCTAGAGGAGGGATTCCTTTTTGTTTCCATGAAAAATATTTTTGTTATAATCAATCTCTAAACTTAAAACCTAAGTATGGTTTAAAGTTTCTTCTTCTATGGAATCATGCAGGTGGCCACCTTCAGAAAGTTACATGGTGTTGCTTTAAAGGTGCACTATGTAACCACCACCTGTTTATCTCTATGGAGTTGTTTCTTTGCCTGGATTTTTTTCACATAATGGCATTTGACTTATATATCTTGCATTTATTTAATTATAGATGTTGCCATTACTAAATATAAACCATTCTTCTTCTGAGTGGGATTGCCTCTCCACAGCTCTGACCTGTAACTTGGCCAGGTGGCATGTTGTGTTAGATAAGGTTAAGGCCATACTGCAAAACATTGCAGGTACAGCTGTTTAATGTCACACTGTGGAACAAGCAAGTGATGAACCCTCAATCAAAAAGTTACATAGTACAACTTTAAGTGAGAATCTGAAAACTCTTGAGGGGCAAACCACCCTGACCCAGTTAAACATGTGTCTAATGTGTCTATAGAGCAGTATCAGCAGCAGCAGCAGTCCGTTCATGGAGCAGTTAAAAATAGCAGAGTTTGACTCACGTGCAGAGGATGGACTGGTCTTCTCGATCTGAGGAGGAAAAATAGTTTGACTGAAGTGAATCGGAGCGGACACAGATTAGACTCTATAAATATCTCAGGTCTCCATGTAAGGCCCCACTCACAGCAGCAATAACACTGGGTTCTCCTCATGTTTAACCCAATGTATGAACAAGGGCTTTCCCACAGAAGAGAAGAAGAGGACATGTCAATGGAAAATGATCCAATGCACTGCTAAATTATAATTGAAATAAAATATACATACATACAGACATCATCTAAATGTCTTGTATTTTAAATAAAATACTTGAATTCCTTTTTTAATTTGTTACTTTTGTACTTTTGTTTTGTTCCAGTGCATGATGGGAATTCAGGTGTTGTCTCTTGCCTGTAATAGCTTTGCTTGGAATGTTGCTTGCCTTTCCACAGATCTGACCTGTAACTCGGCATGGTGCTGCTTGTTTCCACGTTAAAACAAAACCTTCATGTCTGTGGGAAAGTAATAACATTTCCATGGAGACAAGCAGGTGGTGGACACAAGGGAGATAACTGCTTTGCCTGAAATCTTTCAGTGTGTATGAAAGTTAAAGCTCCACGGAGACAAGCAGGTCACGCTACCAGGCCAAGTTACAGGTCATATCAATGGAGAGGCAAGCTTAAACAAGACGATTCTCTACTATTTTTATTGTTCTTTTATCGAAAGTCTGCTTACTTTTTCTTTTATTTGCTGGTTTCAATCGTTGAAGAATAAAAACAAACTGCAGAACATGCTCAAAATTTACAGGGATTAAACTGAGGGAGCTGTATTCTCTGTGGAAGAAGCAGGTGCTGAGCAAAGCCAAGTGTCTCCTAGCTCAGCCAATAAAGTTTTCTGAATCTGAATCTTACTCTTAACTGATAAATTAGAAAAGATCAATTCAAGCTATATCATATTAATGCCATACTGTGTCATATTCTAGACAGTATTAGCGTCAATACATAACTTCAAGTAAAACTAAACAAATATTGTAAGAAGCGAGGCCTGGCTTGTAATATTTCAGGTCTAAGAACCAAAGAAATCTGAACTTGTGTTTTGTTCTTGTAAGTATGAGTACCTTGCATCATGTTGCGGTAGGCGTTGTCTGTGATGGAGTAGATGTGTGGAGGGACCTCGTGGCGTTTCTTTCCTTTGTACATCTCAATGATCTTCTCTGAATAAATGGGCAGCATCTTATACGGGTTCACCACCACACAGAACAGGCCCGAGTAGGTCTGAGGAGAGAAGAGAGGGGTTGGTTTAACTATAGCAAAATACAAAAAATATACCATAGCAAAATTGGGACTAATCTGGAGTCTGTTCCACTTTTTTGATGTCATGTCAAGTCAGCAGCTACCTTTTACCTTGAATTCAGTGGAGATTGACAATTTCAGGTCTGGAATAATCCAAATGATTCTACAGTGCAATCCTGGAATTATGTTTTGGTTGAGTAATCCTTTATTATTAGTCTGTCTACATCTCCAAAGCCACCTTGTGAAGTCTTGAAGAGATAGTTTTATCTTTTTAGTTCAGTAGCGATGGGCAATTCCAAAGCTGAAATCATCCAAATGATTTTAGCGAGTTTAAAATCACAGTGGAGCACTTCTTGTATTACCACATAACATCAAAAAGTGGAACAGTGTGTTTTCAATTTGAGAGAAAAACAAAATATGCAGGATTTGTGTGTTAAACATGAGAATGAAACCAAAAACACATCTCCAGGTCTGTTTGTGATGAGGAAATATTATAACATACATAAGAAAATAGCTTTTTAGTTGTTAGAAGGAAAAAAAAATCTAAATTTTCTTTGTTGTTTTGCCTGCTGTAATTATGTTTTGTTATAATGTCCACTCAGGCTGGGACCAGGTCTTGTGTTGTCTCCTGCTCTTACTGTATAAGGCCAGCTCATCTTCACTGCACTGTCTATACAAAGATCAACACAGTTTAGATTTTACCCCCAAAACAGGTCTGCAATAATAATAGTAGATCCAACGGGATACATGGACCATCCGACCTAAAAGGGACATCTACAGATAAGCGCTGCCTATGCCCACTGCCCATATGAAGTAGCCTATATAAGGGCTGGTTCAGCTCTCATTAAAGATATACTGTGGATCTTTTGTAGTGGAGAGTCTGCTACTATTGCATTACCTGGTTGAGCTTTAAATGTCTACATGTCTGTGGAGAGAAGCAGGCTATGTCCCCAGAGTCAAGTTAGAGGTCAGATTTGTGGACATGTAATTGAATACACGTAAAATAAATAGAACTGGTCAAAAGTTTTAGAACACCACACTTTTTCCAGTTTTTTACGGTTTACTGTTGACCAAAACGTATTCTAAACTTTTGATTGATGAAAGTGTCCACCTTTGGCAGATATAACAGCTGAACAGACTCGTGGCTCGTTCTTTTTACAATAGAAATAAAATATTCTTCAGAAGGTTCTTCCCAAGTTTGTTGCAGAAGTTCCCATAAATGTGTGGCACTTGTAGGTTTCTTAACTTTCTTTTTTCTGTTCAGTTCATCGTAAGCTAATTCAATGGGGTTTAAGTCTGGAGACTGTGCTGGACATGTTCTTTTTTTTTTTTGAGGTACTTTTGGCAGAGCTTGGACTTGTGTTTTGTTATCTTATATCTTTTTTTTTTACCTCTGTCTGTGCAAGCTCTACATTGGACTTGCAAGACTTGAATTGCAATAAATAACTAGAAAATTTAGGATGTTCTAAAACCTTTGACCAGTAGTTTAAGCTAAAAGTAATAGTGCGAAACATTCAGGGCAAAGCAATAACATCTCCATGGAGACAAGCTCAAGGTCTACTCTCTGCTATAAAATTTATACAGTGCACAATGCCAACAAAGCCAAAACACCTACTGCAACTACTACTACAACTACTGCTGCTAATACTACAGTATGCTGTGACTACCTTTTCTTTTTTCTTTGTTTAGTTTTTTTTGCTCTGTTTGGTCTCTCAGCATATAAGCTTTCATGTGGACTAAACAAAATTGTCCACTGAAACATGTTTTAATATTTAATTTACTAACATGCAGCCATAGCATTATATTCAAAGGGTGTGTTCTCAAAATCAGTCCTTAAAGCAGCACCTACACACACCAAACTTTACATTCTTTTGCCTAACAAGATTTTGATTTGAGTTTTTTGATATCATAGGGTTAGGGTCATCATAGATTTAACTACTTTGAATTTTTAGGCAAAATTTCAGTCAGATTTAGTTCACTCAAATACCAAATAAGATATCCAAAATCATCTCTGTATATTTTTAGTATCTAATATGTCAACAAAAAGAAGCAAGAATTTTAAGCCTGCTCTGTTTTAAAATCTGTTTCTGTTTTGAATGTCCAAACAATAGTTTTTGGCAATTTTTACACATATAATATGCCTTAATTTTAAGTGAAAACACCACATGATGAAAAACTTGTAATACAAAACAGCAGGAGAAGTTTCAAATCGATATCTCGAAATTTAAGATTTTTTTCCTGTTCACCTGCAGTGTCTCGCCTTATTGCCCCGATCCATATCAAAACTGTACAATGTTGACGAGTCAAAAATCAATAAATGATTTTTACCCTCAAACCTACTGCAGCTACACGCAAGAATACAAAAACACAAGAATTACGGTTCCAAAAGCGTAGCTGTCACCAAACCACATCACAAAAACATTACAGATCTAATTTCTCTCTTACATAGATGAGGCTGGAGAAGTATCTCTCTCTGAGATTGTGTAGAACAGAGGCTTCATTGAGAAAAGTCAGAGCCGCCATGTCCTCCACTTTACTGAACTTCGGGGGGTTCATCTTCTGCACGTCGTCTTTGCTCACGGTGGTCTTCTGCCCGTTTGACAGCTCCACCAGCACCTACGGGAACAAACCAGAAACTCTATTCAGAGACTGATATAACACTAGAATTAAGCAAGTCAAGATGAACTGGTTAATTGAAAATCCTAATTATGTAACTACAAAAAGTAAGAATTTTAGAGGCCTGTATTGGTGTATTTTTAATGCGCTCATTAAAGGACTATTTGGATACTTTCAGCCCTGGAATTGGCAGTCTCTACTGAACTAAAGGTAGCTGTTAACTTCAAAACTACAGCTTCATGACATCACAAGGTGGAACAGAGCATTTTGAGCTTTGGAGATATAGACAGACTAATAATAAAGGATTACTCAAATGTGTGAATGAAACAAAACATAACTCCAGGTATGTTTTTGATAGTGATGACGTAACAACATTGTACCATGGCTTAAAGCTCACAAGAGTCCATTTTGTTAAAGTTAGTTTTTGTTTAAGGTAACTTTATTATCATTGTTTATGATAATAATGTTTTATTATGATTATTTGCCTTATTGTTACTTTGATTAAGTTGGTAGTTTTAGTTAATTATTTAGTGTAATTCCTCCCTCTTGTGTTCAGTTTTAGTTAGTCCTCCTGCATGTAAACACCCCTGTTTTTTGTCTGGTTGGGATAGTTTTATTCTGTTCAGTTTGGTTTAAGTGAACCCCAGTTGGGTCTGGCTTTTTGTTAAATATAATTTGCCTAATTTCAGCTTTTGTTCAATTACCTTTTTTGACTTTATAAAATTTAAACTTATTTGTTTTTGCCTTTCTGTTTGGTCCACTACAAGCGGCTTTTTATATTTTATTCTTTTTTATATCAAGTGAGTGCTTGATATTTGTATAGTAGTAGTATAGTAGTTGTATTTGTATCTTCCACAGTACTGGTGGTTTTCAGATTCTAGCATGTGATGGTGTCACATTCCCAGATCGGTACAAGAGACAGTGAGTGCGTATACATGCACATGAGTATCCTGGTTATGATCAGTTTCTTTGAGTATCCCGGTTTCTTCATGGTGCATGTATACAAAGTATCCCGAATACTGACATAACCAGGATATGGCTTATAACCGGGATACTGATGTGCTTGTATTTTGTAGTGATATCTTGTAAAGGTAAATTCCCAAATATGAAACATGATCATTTCTATTACTGATTAGGCTGCAAAACAACAAAAATCTGCAGCTGAACAATACTGATTTTAGCTGCCTCCCTCTGTATTGTGGTAAATAATATTGACCTAAACAACTGTGATGTCATTTGAAACCCAGTAATACACAACTGCATAGAACTTTTCTACCTCCAAGGACAATAAACCTGGTCATACTAGAAAAGTGGTGACCTATGAGACCATGTGACTGAAAGTAAATACAGGATTGTACTGTTTTTGGTCTGCTCAGGTCATTGTGGATAATCAAAAAATAATTATAACACCACTTGACGAACTGCAATACAAACCAATTTCAAGTAGATCTCTAGGTGGTTAGGCAACGCAAAGCTGTAACATATGCAGTAACATATTGAAACTGACTATACTATAATAAAACTTATAATAGTGTGTATGCAATTCCATTAATTATTACTTATGGTCATTCTCGTATATTTATGACATCAAATGCATATATTCACCTGTTCTCCCTGCTCCTCTTTGACGCTGGCAGCTTCAAAGCCCTCTCTCTCCGATGGGACCCACACCATCTTTTTGGCTGCCCAGTCGGCCTGAGCCAGTCCACTGTTTTTGAAGTCATTCTGCAGGAACAGGAACTTGCTGTCGTCGCTGTCGGCCATCTTGGGAAGGTCACTGCTGCCACTGAGATGAGAGGAGGGAGAAGGTCTGGGTCTGCGGTTTGAGCTGAGAACAAATATAGAAAAAAAAAAAAAAAAAAGAAGAATTTACACACATTTTTTACACTTTTGGGCAGCTAAGAAGTCAAAAGAAAACCAAGAGGACATGCTCACTCCATTCAGAGAGAGGCAGATAACACATGAATTATGAAAAAACAGCAGTCGTAATAGTCAATCTGAAACAAAAGTACAACAGTAGGATTTTTAAAGGTGCAAGGTGTAACATTTCTGGTGAAGGGTCTGCACATTTCCTATCTGGTATGTTATTGCTTTGCCTGGAATGTTTCAGTGTGTGGCATTAAACATATCTATCTTGCTTTATTAAATAACGGGTGTTTTTTTTGCTCAAAAGTGACTTGGAAAACATTCAATATGTAAGCGGATTTGCGTTTCCACAGACCTGACCTAGGTCTGTGGACCTGACCAGAACTTGGCCTAGTAGCATCACCTGCTGGTTGGGACAGATTAATGCCAAACATAATGCCAAACATCTCCATGGACACAAAAAGCGGTGAACCCTCCACCAGAAAATACCACAGTACACCTTTAAAGTCTGTAAAAAATAATCCATGAGGAGCATGAAGTGTTGAAGTGTTATTGAAATAAGGCTGAAAACAATAGCTTCTAACAGAAACCTTTTCAGCTCTTTACTGCTGGAATGTTCCACAGTAAGGCAGCAAACCTATCTATCTCCATGGAGACAAGCAGGTGACACCAACAAGCCAAGTTACAGGTCAGACTTGTGGAGTAGTGAGCCAGCATGCATGATTTCATAGTTAGTTTTAGAAAGAAGAAACGCCTGTAACTGAACATATGCAAAATTCCAGATGAGGAAATAACTCTCCATCAAGACAAGCAGGTGGTGCACCCTCTACCAGAAACATGACACAGTGCACCATTAAAGTACTAGTATGGAACTTTCTGGAGGCAAAAATCAACTGCATTATTCTGCATTAACTTTATGTTATAAATATTTTAAGTTGAGTTTTATGTCATACCGCCAAGTATTATAGCCACAGGAACAACATTTCCATGGAAACAAGCAGGAGGAGGTCCTAGTCCAGGCCAAATAAGAGCCAGGTTTGTGGAAATGCAAGCCTGCTCAGAGTAAGGATGCATGTTTTTGTATATTTTTCAATACAATAAAAACATCCATAATGAAAAAAAAAAAAAAAAAAAAACATTAGCTTTTATTTTAGTCTATTTTTGGCAAAAGAAAGTTACACACTATGGCTTTAAAGCTCTTAAGGTCTATTTAGCAAAACATTAGAAGCTTACAATTTTGATAAGTGAAGCGGGAATTAAGTAGAAGATCCCCAGATGCTCCGGTACAGCGTCATACAAGATTTCATTAAAACCATCATTTTCATAACAGCATAATTTCCCTATATTTGCATCCATCCATTTACTGTCGCTTACCTGTCATCATAAAAGAGTAAAATCAGCACCCCGAAAATGAAAATAAGTATGTAGATAACAGCGCCGCAGATCTGCTCCGCACTCGATGCAATGACCATGTTTGGAAAACCCGCAGTGCTCCTGAACGCACCACGGATCCACTCACCAAAAGAGTTTTTTAGGGGAATAAAGACACAGCCGCTGCCTTAAAAGGAGCTGTGCCAAGTGGAGCCTGCAGTTTACACCCAAACAGAAGCAGGGCAGAGGGGCAGCGATGGGCAAAGGGACAGTGACATCAAGAATAATAATGATAAAAATAAATAATAATAATAAAAATAATAGAAGCAATAATATTTAAAAAAATCTAAAAATCAATACAATATGAATTCATATCTTGATTTTTAAATGTTTTTAGTAGTGTTGTAGTGTCAAACGCAATTTCAATACTAAGGAATAGACTCAATACTAAATACTGATTCAGATACCACAATGATAATAAAAAATACTCTTTATTTAGACAATAGAATTTGATTTTTAATATTAAATCATATTTATTTCTTTTCTACTCCCATGTGGGCTTATATGTGTGTAATCCCTCAGTGGTCCAGGTAGGTTCCATAGTGGTTCATGGGTGTATACTAATTGTTTCCGTCCTTTGATTGTGACAAGTATTTAGTTTCAATGTTAGTTTTCATATTGATTAGTATCTGATCCCTCGTTTGACAAACCTAGTTTCTGGAAAGGCTGCACGATTAGGGAAAAATATCTAATTGCAATTTTTCTGACAAGCTTTGCAAAACTGAGGTTAGATCTGTGTTTTAAAAATAGGATTCTATTCAAAGTTCATAGTTTAAAAGCCTCCAGAAGAAATGACAAAAAGTCTGAATTATGAACTGACAAACTGTATAACTGAACTGACAAGAATCACATTTCAGAACATGTTTGCACAGTTTTTTATACAGAATAAGATGGTACTTCAAAAATGACAGTATTTGCAATCGCCAATACTCTAGTTTTGTCTGTTTTTATTGCACTGAAAAACATGCGTCCTTAATCTGAGCAGTCTTGCATCTCACATTATGGCCGTGGTGAATGTTCCAAACTATGGTTTTAACTTCCTATATCCATGGAGGTTGTTTCCAACCCCAGAAAGTCTATCACTATCACTTTAAATACTTGCTTTTATATACTACTGCCACCACCACTAACACCAGTAACCACCAACCAGTCTTACAGTTTTCATTTCATTTTTTTTTTTGTGTTGACATTTAAAAAAAACATTTATAAATATAGATTTCAGTTTCCTGTTTTGGGGCACCATTTTGAGTACTTTTGACCATTCTACTTATATAATACTTTGTTATAAATTGATTCCTGCTTTGATCACTGAGTCCACAGCTAGGTCAAAACATCATAGACCTACAAATAAGGTCCAGATGAAAAATTTATAGTGGAAATTACATGGTAGATGCATTGTCAAATGCAGTCAAATTTTAGATAGATAATGAATTTGCATAATAATTTACTAAAGGTCAAAGTCACTGTGAATAAAGACATGAATCCTTGACCCTTTTCAAATGTCCTTCCTTTCCTTTCAAGCCTATTTATTTTACATTTGACATTTATTCTGCAGTGTTTACTAATACCAAAATATGGGTTTAATTCATATCCATATCATTTGTATTTTTCATACAATAAATGTTATACAAAGCTCAAATTCTCTTAAAAAATATATATATATATAATTTTGAGTAAGTAATTGGAACAAAATTGTACTCCAGTGCATTAGGAGTCCTAATTCAAATTAATATATTTTGTAATAATTACCAAAGTTGTGGGTGGGTCCATCACCTTCTTGTTTCTATGGATATGTCATATGGATTTGCTCTGCCTGGAATGTTCCACAATATGATATTAAAGAGCTCTACTTTACATTTATTCAATTATAGGTGTTTTTATAGCTCAAAAACAGCTAGAAAAACTGATCTGGCCTGTAATTTGGTCTGGTTTGGTCTCCATGAATGTAGAAAGGTTTAATGCCATACTGTGAAACTTTCCAGACAAAGCAATAACATCTCCATGGACAAAAGCATTTGATGGATCCTCCACCAGAAAAGTTACACAGTGCACCTTTAAAGTAGCTGAAATATTAATTGCAATATGAATCCTAGCAATTTCTACAATATCTGACATACAAACGTGAAACAAGATATTTCTGAAGGTTAGTGTGTACTTACAGAGTTGTAGATGTGTCCTCACCGCTGGATGGACAGAGAACAGTTCAGAGCAGGTGAGTCTCCTTTGACATAAGGAATCACCAGAAGGAGGAGCTACAGAGCCAGGCCACGCCCCTTTTGTGAAAAAACAGGAACTGCCCATCGCTGACCTGAGGACCTGACCGAACAAGGGTTTGACTTGGGACCTGGGAGATATTAAAATAGCATTATTATTATATTGTATTGGGCTCTGGCTAATTTGTTTGAATCAACTCAGAGGAAAGATAGAGTTGAACCTTTTCTTTTGCCTGGTAAGTCTCTCTGTTTTTTTTTTTATACAGAGACCAAACTTAATTAATTACAATGCTACACTTTAAAGGGCCCATACTATGTTATTTTCTGATCTATGTTATAATGTTTTTCTCATCAAAAACATCTGGAGTTGTTTAACGCACAAACCCTGCCCAAGTTCTTCTCTGAAACAGAAAAAACTCACTGTTTTTAAACTCTATACACCTTCAGTGCCTCTGTCGATTTTTAAAAATTCAATCCAGGGTATTTTACAGGATCATTGCACATGCTTTTAACACTTATATCTTTAATCTGCAAATTTTTGACTGTTTCATGTTATGGTTGATGTGTCAGTGTATTCGGCTTGTGTTGTTTTATACTACCTCTTGGCCAAGTCATTATTGCAAATGAAAAGATGTTCTCAATTGACTTCCCTGGTAAAATATTGAATAAATTAAAGAATCATTTTGATGATTTCAGCTGTAGAACTGCACATCTCTACTGGACAAAAGCTAAAAGGTCACTGTTATCTTGAAATCTACTGCTTCATGACATCACAAGGTGGAACAGAGCATTCACAACACAACTTTGGGCATGTTTTTCAGGAGGTAACAACATTATACCATAGCTTGTGTAACTTTTCTGGTGGAGGAGGGTCTGTCATCTGATTTTTTTTTCCATAGAGATGTTATTGCTTTGCCTGAAATGTTCCACAGTAACATTAAACTTATCTTGCATTTATTCAATTACAGGAGTTTTTAACACTTGAAAAACATGAGCAGGGTCACCTCTCCACTAGGGGTGTGTAAAAATATCGTAATATCGATATATCGTATTGTTTAATGTGATGATGCAGTATCAATATCGTAGGCTGTTGTATCGATGTATCGCCAAGAGTATTTTTTGGTATATTTTACTAAATTATTTTGTTACAGAGCTACAGCTTTGTTGCTTGTTCAGAGGAAGGAAACTCGTTTATGCGACACATTTGACATTTTCACTGTTCTGATGATTAAAATCAGTGTGTTTCATATAAACATTGCACAAGAAGTGGTTTAACAAAGACTTTTAGTATCACAGTCATGATGTAGCCTTTATTTTTTACTGAACTGTAACTAATCGATTTGAAATATATCGTATCGAATCAAAAGCTAACTGTATCGAGATATGTATCGCATCGTGGTCTGTGTTTCGAGGTATGTATCGATACCCAGCCCTACTCTCCACAGATCTGACTTGCAACTTGGCTTGGTGGAGTCACTTTTTTTTTCCTCCATGAAGATAGATTGCTTAATGCAATACTGTAGAGCAGGGGTGTCAAACTCATTTTGGTCCGGGGGCCGTATCCAACCGACTTCGATCCCAAAGGGGCCAGATCAGAGAACTCATGTCATATAAACCCCAAAAATAACAATAAGTTCAAATATTTGTGCAGAGAAACACAAATCTATTACAGAAATCTTTTTTAATTGATGAACTCTTTCTTTTACAAAATATTATAATATTATGAACAACCTGAAACTTAAAAAAAAAAAAATACAATTTCAACACAATGTTTTAACATGAACTTGTTTAAAATTAACTTGTAGAAAGAAATAAGTCAATTTTTGTTGTAAAATCCTGCACTCGGCTCCACTTTTCTCATTTTGTGTAGAAAATCAGCCGAGGGCCAGATTAAAGGTCTTGGAGGTCCGGATCTGGCCCCCGGGCCGCATGTTTGACACCTGTGCTGTAGAGCATTCTGGACAAAGCAATAACATCTCCATGGATACGAGGAGGTAACAGATCCTCCACCAGAAAAAGTTACAAAGCGCACCTTTAAAGCTCACAAGAGTCAATTCTGTGTAATATAGGACCTTCAAATTTAACTACTGTACTCCTGATTCAAGTGGTAAAAAGCCATTTTTAGCAATAAGCGAAACTGTGAGACATTTTAAAATGATATATCAGACAGACGTTCATTCATGTGGAGGCTTTCTATCATCGTGGGTTCAACAGTTCGCCCACTGGACCAGACTGGAAAGAGGAGGGGCTGGAGCAATGGGCCCATCTTCTTGATCTTTATATAAACAGGAAAGTCCCACTGAGAGAAAGTCCTGGCCTTTCTATGTATTATTATCAGGAGTGGAAAACAACAAATTACAAATACTCATGTTACTGTAGTTGAGCGGATTTTGGAGGTAAAATTGCACTTTATTCAATAGATATTTAAATTTATACTTTAATTAATTCTGACCATGTAATTGTAATTTAAATTATATGAGCACTGAGTACAGCCATGGATCTATAATTAAAAAAAATATATCTTATTACACATCTTATTTAACTTACTTAATATTTTATACATATCTTATTATACTTCCATGAGTACAGCATAAGTCCCAGTTGTCCTAATCCATGACGGCAGTCTCACTGCTATCTCTGCCTATTTCTAAACTGATAACATCACTTCATCTCCTGCTCTGATTGGTCCATAGACTGTCCATGGACTAGATAGAGCTCAGAGAAACTACTAAATTCATCTTTAAACAGTTCAATTTACATAAAATACTGATATAAAATACAGCTAAAAACATTTAAAAGTAACTAGTAACTAGTTCAATTTTGGAAGCAGTACTTATACTTAATTGAGTATTTTAGCCACGTCACTGTACTTTTACTTGTATGCCTTTTAGGTGTAGCAAACAAAAATTCCCTATCACATAACCATCATTCTGCCTTGGCACAGGGTCTTAACACTTTAAATAAATATACCTTTGTATTCAATTATATTTCAATTATCTTTAATGTGAAAGTATTTGGTGTATTTATTCATACTGTACATACTACGTATACTGCACAGTAAGTTGTGTGTCAGACTGTTTAACTGTGTAAGCGTTGCCACACAATGCTGATAAGCACTAAACAGGAAATCCAAAGCTCTTCTACATCATTTCAAACAAACACCATGATGACTAGACCTCAGTGAGGTGTTCTTATAACGGATGGAAGTCTGGGGAAAATCCAGCAATGATCATAACTGTTACTGCCTTTTGTCTTTGCACGACTCCTTATTTTTGGCTCATGATACAAAGGCAGCGTACAGGATTGTGAAATAAGGGTCAAAGGTCCATATTGAGCTCAATATTTTTCACATACAAATATTTCTTCATTATAGCAACTACTCGTCAAAGCTTGGGAACCCTACCTATTATACTTTTGTCTGGACTAAACAGGAACTTTGAAGTCATTGTTCTCACTGACACTCTGGTGAGCTCAGGTCTCTTGCCATTGTGGGGCAGCATTATCCAGCTATATGTTTTAGAATTGTTAACTTACATAAATAAATACATTGTATTCACCCGCTCTCCTCGTTTTCATTATATTCTTGAAAATACTACTACTTTATTGCACAATTTCTGCCTATTTATTTGAACTTTAGAGATAACCCCCACCCCCCCAAAAAAATGTATTTGTCATCACTGACTTGCCGTAGCCTTCTCTGGTTTCTATGGTTACTGCCTCCAACAAACGCACCTGTTGCTGTTAGCCAAACTTTAGCATCTTTAGCAACTTTAGCTAAGTTTATTTCACCTTTTCTAAAAATGTTGCCGCACAGTGAGAGTGTGGAGGAGCAGGCGGAGGTGGAGAAATACCTCACTGTGTTCGAGGGCTCTTCCCCGGAGGATGTGTCGCACGCCCGGCAGCTCTGGAGCTCTCTGTCGCTTCTCCCCCCGCAGGAGTCCCGCCTGGTCTCGGCCGATATCCGCCAGAGACTCCCCGTGTCCCGGCCCCAGCAGAGGAGGAGCACCGCCATCGCCGGGCCGAGTGTGTCCGTCCCGGAGCCCGCCAGCCTGGTCACTGCGCGGGAGAAGCAGCGGCGGGAGGAGCGGCGGAAGTACGAGGCCATGGCGGAGAACCGGAGGCAGATTCTGGAGCTGTTGAAGAAGCAGCGGGAGCAGAGGATCCAGAAAGAACTGCTATCAAGAGACTATAAACCAAAACAAGAGTCTGAGGAGATGGATCAGAGCCAGAACAGAGACCAATATGAGAGCGATTTAGAGCTGGTCCAACAACTGCACTGAACTCTCAAAGAAATCTAATATTGATGCTATCGTAAAGGTGCATTGTGTAATTTTTTGGTTTGGGGATCACCTGCATGTTTTTTATTGATGTCATTGCTTTGCATGAAATGTTGCACAGTACGACATTAAACAGGTCTACCTTACATTTACTCAATTACAGGTGTTTTTATAGTTTAACATACCTAGAAAAAAAGGCGTGCTGATTGTGAGCAGCCGCCTTTCCACAGATCTAACCTGTAGCTTGGTCTGGTTTGGTCTCCATGAAGATAGAAAGGTATTGGACGAGCTTTCCGCTGGTGTTCTGTCGAAATGGGCTACCAGCAGTCTACAGTCCCTGACAAAAGTCTTGTCGCTTATCCATTTTGTAGAAACAAAAGCTTATAACCTGACTTTAAATTAATCGATTGGTTTTAGAAATGTCTCATATGAAAGCTAAAACCCTCCCAAATTATGCTCAATATACTAAAATAAATTTGCTTCACTGAAGAAAGATTGATCATTTAATGAACACAGAAAGGTCAGATTTTGGCAAGACAAAAGTCTTGTCACCTTGTCATATGATGCACCCAATCCTAGATTACAGCCTCACCTGTGATCAGTTACTGATCAATCAATTAGTGGGTGTGTATAAAAGGAACCCCAGCACACCAGACCTTCACATCAACTGCAACTTGACCTCTGACAACATGCCTAAGATCCACCCTGAGACCAAAGCGTTAATTATCAAGAGGCTGAAGACCAGATCCACTGCTGAGGTGGTGACACCTTCAATGTGTCTCAGCGTCAAGTACAAAGAATAAGAAAAAGATCTGAAATGACTGGAGATGTTTTTGACAAGCCCAGGTCCGGCAGACCCCGCAAGACAACTGCTCGGGAGGACCGTTTGTTGATTCGAAAATCCAAGGCCAGCCCCTTTTCCACTGCAGCAGACTCCACCAGGCCTGGTCACCTCAAGTCCCTGTGTCAACCACAACAGTTTGTAGAATTCTGTCTCAAAATGGCCTCCATGGTCAAATCAGTGCACAGAAACCAGCACTAAACAAAAGGCAATTAAAAAACCATGTGGCATTTGCCAAGGCCCACAGCCTGCTAAAAGGATGGACACTGGAAAAGTGGCAGAAGGTGGATTTCTCAGATGAATCCTCGGTTGAATTACATCACAGGTGCCGCAAATATTGCAGGAGACCTACTGGAGCCGCATGGATCCAAGATTCACCCAGAAAACAGTTAAGTTTGGTGGCGGAAAAATCACGGTCTGGGGTTACATCCAGTATGGGGCTGTGTGAGACATTTGCAGGGTGGAAGACAATATCAATAACCTAAAATATCAAGAAGTATTAACTACCTCTTACATTCCCAATCATAAAAGGGGTCAAATTTTGCAGCAGGATGGTGCTCCATCGCATACTTCTATCTCTACATCAAAGTTTCTCAAGGCGAAGAAGATCAAGGTGGTCCAGGACTGGCCAGTCCAGTCACCAGACATGAACATCATTGAACATGTCTGGGGTAGAATGAAAGAGGAAGCATGGAAGGCAGAACCAAAGAATCTTGATGAACTCTGGGAGGCATGTAAGACGCTTTCTTTGCTATTCCTGATGACTTCATCAACAAATTGTATGAATCATTGTTGAACCGCATGGATGCGTCCTTCAAGCTCATGGAAGTCATACAAGATATTAAATATGGATCTCACAGCACCACTACTTAATTCACTGACATTATGCAACATATTTTTGTATTTGAAGTAAATTATTTGTTCAATTTTCTGTAGGCGACAAAACTTTTGTCTTGCCAAAATCTGACCTTTCATTAAATGATCGATCTTTCTTCAGTGAAGCAAATTTATTTTAATATATTGAGCATAATTTGGGAGGGTTTTAGCTTTAAATATGAGACATTTGTAAAACCAATCGATTAATTTAAAGTCAGGTTATAAGCTTTTGTTTCTACAAAATGGATAAGCGACAAGACTTTTGTCAGGGACTGTAAATTGGCTATGGCGTCTATAGATTCACTAGCCTGATTCATCAGCTGGTTTCACTTCGTAGAAACCATCTCATCTCAGAGCATTAAAATTAGCTCGACGGTAGGCAGGTACTTTTTTTTTTTTATTTAACCAATCGCTGCTCTTTGGTCGTGACGTATGTAATGCACCACCAGTGTTGGGTAGTAATGGATTACATGTACCGCCGTTACGAGTACAAATTATGAGTAACTGTATTCAGTTACAGTTACTGTTTCAGTGCTGAAATAGGTGGATTACAAGGTGGTATTTTCCTGTTTTCACATTTTGTGCTACATCCCATTTTTTTATTTTTTTATTTCAGTAATTCCACTCATTGCCGGAAACCCAAACAGAACGCGCGCAGTAAGAGCGATGTAAACGTCATGTTAATGTTGGCGGCGTCAGTCACACAATGGAGGAGGTCAAAGAGCCAGTAGAACAGAGTCAGCAGTGCACAGGTAAAAACACATTCGTGTCTTGGAAATTCTTCTCCCGACGTGAAATATAAAAGAAAATAACAAATATAAAATCGCCTTCAACTTAAATGTCAAACCGGAGCTACTGGCACTGGTGAAAACAAACTGCATAGACTCATGATGTCTGCACTACTGTTCTATAGTGACCTGCGACACGAGGGGACGCGCACACAAACACCCACAAACACAAACACACACCTTCATCATCGTCATCGACCTGAGAATGCGCGGACCACGTTTCCTTCCGTAGACACTGCGCGGACACCGCTGTCCTCCCGTGAGCCGCGTGTGGATCGCGTTTTCTCGCGTACGCTGCGTAAACCGCGCTTCCTCCTGTGCGCCTCTAAACCAGAACTAACACCAAGACTTAAACCAGGACTAACCCAGTCCAGGACTAAACCAGGATTAAACCAGAACTAAACCAGGTCTAAAAGCAGGACTAAACCAGGACTGAACCAGGTTTAAACCAGAACTAAACCAGGTCTAAAAGCAGGACTAAACCAGGACTGAACCAGGTTTAAACCAGAACTAAACCAGGACTAAACCAGGACTTAAACCAGGTCTTACAATCAGGACTAAACTAGAACTAAAACCAGGACTAAACCAGGTCTAAAATCAGGACTAAACCAGGACTAAAACCAGGTCTAAACAATGATACCTAACAGTAGGTTGGACATAATTTAAGGTGATCTCATATAAAAATAATTTCTCTATCAATAATATTTTTAATATGGTTAAGGAAAGATTGGGCTTTTTATCTTCTTTTAGCAGACAAAATTTATGTTAAGATTTCCTGGTCTTTGCTTCGCTATAGTAAACAGTTGCTTATTCATAAAGACTTGGGCTCAACAGACAATTTGAAGAGAACAAACAAGAATTTTCAGGATGTGGTTTCTACATTCATGTAGTTTTAAAAGGCATGACAATATCAAGTAATCCAAAGTAATCAGATTACGTTACTCACTTTAAGTAATTTAATGGATTACGTTACAAACTACATTTTGGGGTATGTAATCTGAAATCTGTAGGGGAATACATTTTAAAAGTAACCTTCCCAACACTGTGCACCACTAACGGGGCTAATTGGTATATTAAGCTTTTCCCAAATCCTGTAGGGAAAAGGGCAATAACATCTTTCCCCTTGATAAAATTCACCAAACATTCTCTTTGTTCTGGCTTTAAATCCTCGATCTCGGGAATCGTTGTCAACACAGAATGTATGACACTTCGCCGACTGGCTGATGCCCGAACTCGCACTTCCAGGGTTTTTGTGAACCATCTAGTGTATTCCAATTCCTGACCTAGTTGCTGGAGAGAAATGAAATTGAATGGAGGTACTAGGTGGTGCCAGCCTGGCTATGGTCACCTGCTTGTTTCTATGGATATGCCATTGCTTTTCTTGAAATGTTCCACAGTATGACATTAAACAGCTCTACATTACATTTATTCAATTACAGGTGGTTTTATAGCTTAAAAACACCTAGAAAAACAGGCATTCTGACTGTGAGTGGGCCTCCTCTCCACAGATCTGACCTGTAGCTTGGTCTGGTTTGCTCTCCATGAAGATAGAAAGGTTTAATACCATACTGCACCGGAAAAGTTACACAGTGCACCTTTAATTTAGATTTTGCATGTGGTTAACTAAACTAACATAACACTATTTTTAGTAACTTAGCCTATGGTTGACTGATTTATGAAGAAACTAGAAAAGCACTCAGAGAGCGCAGACCTCCGCCAAGGACTACCCCCATTTTTTATATAAATTGCAATAAAATCCGGATCAGCCTTTGGAATATGAAAGAGGATCCCATTGTCCATCCCTGAGTCAAATTTCATGGGGTTTGGTCAATAATTAACCGAGATATTGAGAAACAAAATTTTTGGCCCCATTTTCCACAATGTTAACTAAAATTTCAAAGTGATCCAGAATCCAGGATTTCTTCTGGATCACCCCCAAAATGAAATCAGTTCTTCCTTTTCACATTTCCAACAAATCCTGAAAATTTCATTAAAATCGGTCCATAACGTTTTGAGTTATGTTGCTAACAGACAAACAAACAAACAGACAAACGCCAGCAAAAACATAACCTCCTTGGCGGAGGTAATTATGAATGCAACTTTATAAATAGAGAGTAAATTTGTATTATTATAATTTTATTAATTTAATTTTCAGTAATATAGCCTATGATTCTTTATGCATTTTAGCCTCCTGCTCAAATTAATCTAGGTTAATCTTTCAGCTTCCAGTTATATGCAACATTTTTGAGGACGTTAACAGGCCCATATTAGGCTGATCTATGTTATAATGTTTCCTCGTCACAAACAGACTTGTGTGATAGTACACTCTGGGTTTTGTTTATCCCGTTATCCCTCCCCTTCACCTTCCTTGTTACCTGCCTTACCTGGAGCTGCTGGGCATGGCCGTGGCTCCTCGTCCTGCTCCTGAGTTGGCCTACACATCTGTCTCTCATCATCATCATCATCATCGTCATCACCAAAAGCCTGAGCTCTTCACA